CAGCAGTTCCTGAGACCTTACCCTTTCCCTCAGGGGTCCCAGCATAAAACTCCCTCCTGCTGCAGGCAAATACTTTAACCTGAGCTACATGGAAAAAATCATTACCAAGGAGCAGGTCAACTAGGTGGTGTTTTATTACCCACACAGTCAAAACACTTTCCAAACCACATGGATTTTAGCTAGTGGTACCAGGAATCTGCTTTCACCCACCCCCATAATCTCTGTTAATATGGGCTGGGTGATGTGGGACTGACAGGGCCAGGATTAATTGATGGGGCCTGGGAGGAAGAACACTGATGTTAAGATACTACAAAATGCAAAATTAATTGATGTGGGGCTGGAGGGGCACAATTAATTAGCCAGAGGTTTGGAAGAAACTGGAGCCTTTTGTATCACTAGGCAGTACTCTGTGCAAATTTGTGTAACTATGCAAATTAACAATCTATTTCTTTGTCACAAGATGTTGACACTTATGAATTCTTGCCCCTAGATGCTCCCTTCCCTATTCCATCCTCCCTGCTCATTTCAGGAGTCCCAAGTACTCCAGAATCTCTCTCTTCTACTGATTTCCCTGCATACCTCTCCACTCACCCGATGAAACCAAATGTACCCTTCCACCACCATCCATCTCATTTTAGTGACCCTGCCACACTAACATTTCCAAAACACATTTCCCACACTGTTTATTTAATGGACCTCTACTCTACAGATTTCAGGGCTCCCTGATGCCTGCCATTTCCCTCCTCCACGCAGAGGCTTAAAAGTCTCCTCACCTAAATCTGAGGGCTAAGAAACAATGATTTGCCCCCTCCAGCAATGGTATGAGGGAGTAGTCCATTCCAGGTGAGTGGCAACAGCTCAGCAGCATATGGTGAATTAAACCAGTAACATTGTCTTCAATGTGGAAGCTATTACAGCAAGCACCATACTAGCAGATAAAACCATAAAGTGTCCTTTTTAAAGTTATTCCTGTTCATTGATAAGCTGCTTTCACCTATAATAGTTAGTTCTTTGAGGTTCCTGTTTTACTGTTAGCAAAATGCAAACCTAGCATGCCCATCATAATCCTCCTTCTCCAACACAGCCCCCTAACTTCCAAATTCTCCTTACTCAAACTATCCCAGTGGTGCTGCTCTGAGTCCCCACCTGGACTCTTGTGTGTAACTAACTAACAAAACTTGAGCCTAATTTAGTGGCATCCTTTCCTTTTAGCCAGTTCTTGCAAACAATCTTTTACCTAACAGATGTGTTTATTGGTAACCTGCCTCATGCCTGGAGTTTCTAAAGCTAAATACAGTACACAGGACATGTTACTGTATATTTAAAATGTTTGGCATATGGCTCATACAGTAACACCTGACAGACAATGAGTCAGTTACAATACCAAAAATATATTACCATTTAAAAAAATAAATGGTGTAAGAATTACCTCTTGAGAATTCTGTAGCTATGAATACTCCTGAATTTATTAGAGAATGCAATTTTCCTGTAAGCAAGCAGGCAGATAAAGCACAGGAAGGAAACACATTGTGCATTGAAAGGAATGACTGGGACCTTGAATGTCAATTTTAGTAATTCCCCTTGTTAACACCCCATCCATAGAAATGACTAATTCCCATCTTGGAGGGCTATAATTTCTATTTGTCTGCAGATAGACCATGACCCATTTACGTTTGGAAGTTTTTCTTTGCAGTTAGAGTGCCACAACAGGCTTTCTTTTTAGGTCGTTTGTTCCTAAACTGGGGGGTGTGCCCCCCCCATGAGGCTGCCCGGCCCTTGAGCTCCCAGCCAGGGAGGTTAGGCCCCAGCCCCTCCCCTCCCCTGCAGGTACACTGCCACGCGGGCAGCGCGGCTTGCGACTGCCCACCTCCCAGGCTTTCCAATAAGCCAGTCCTGCCGCTCTGAGCAGTAAGGGGGCGGGGAGCAGGGTGGGCTGTATAAGGAGCAGGAGGTCCCGGGGGCGGGACAGTCAGGGGACGGGGAGCGGTTGGATGGGGCGGAGGTTCTGGGGGGGCAGTCAGGAGACAGGGAGCAGGAGAGGATTGGATAGGCGTGGGAATCCCAGGGGGACCTGTCAGGGGGTGTGGGTGTGGATAGGGGTCAGGGCAGTCAGGAGACAGGGAGCAGGGGGAATTGGATAGGGGTTGGGGTCCTGGGAGGGGGCGGTCAGGGGACAAGGAGCAAGGGGGTTGGATGATGGTAAAGGAGAGGTGGGCGCGTGAGGGTTTATTGAAAATTAAAAAGGGGGCACGATGCCAAAAAGTTTAGGAACCACTGTTTTAGGTGAAAGGCAATCAGTTTCTGTAGAAACTGACAAGTCGATGAGAAAAGCATTGGTACAGCGTACAAGCCACTCCTGTCACAGCCCAGCACCAGCTTGATCTTGTACGCAGATGTTCCACAAGCACAACTGGTTAAGTAAGACGTAGACACAGCGAGTTATGCGAGCATACATCACATGTACGGGCGTGCGTTGTTCCCCTCTTCATTGTTTCCAGGGCTGGATTACCCAATAGGCAGACTAAGCACGTGCTTAGGGCACCAGCAAAGCAGGGGGCTCAAAAAAAATATTTAAAAAAAATTGATATTTGATATTTCAAAAAAAGCATCTAAGTAGTCATCATGGGAAAAATCAGAACTTTGTTAGACTTCCTTACACTCCACTACACACTCTTCCCCTGTTTTTCTCTTCTCTTTTTATTACTTATCCCCAACTAAACCAGGGGGGCGTCCTACTAACGTAGATTGAAATAATGCGAGGAAATCAGATCCTGTCATGTATTGTGGCTCAGTTTGTCCCATTTTTAGCAGGCCATATCTCAAAATATGGGAATGCTGGCAAAGGTAACCCATCATACTTATCCAAGACAATATGTGATGCACTCATTGGTCTAATGAGTAACAAAGTTCGTTCAGCTATTGTGGATGAAATAAGTACTGCTGGGTACTTCAGTTTATCTGTCGACTCTACACCTGATCTTTCACATATTGATCAATTGAGTATTGTACTAAGATATGTGTCTCCCACAGATGGAAAACCAATTGAATGATTTATAACATTCCTCAATTTGAAAAGCCACACTGGTGAAGAAATGGCAAATCAAGTACTGCATTATCTGTGCCAAGTTTGCAAAATAGATGTCTCAAAGTGCAGAGGTCAATCTTATGACAACGCTGCTAACATATCAGGGCATTATCGAGGAATGCAGAAGAAGCTTTTAGAACAGAACAAATATGCCATATTCATGCCATGTGCTGCACACTCTCTCAATCTTGTTGGCCACAGTGCTGTTGATTGTTGTCCAGTGGCAGTAAGTTTTTTCTCAACAGTCCATTTACTTTATACATTTTTCTCGGCCTCAACACACCGATGGGCAGTTCTTAAAACATATTTGTGCAGTGATCGTGTGTTGAAATCTCTTTCTAATACTTGCTGGGAGGCACATGCAGTGGCAACAAGTGCAATTCTGGAGTCCTACTCAAAGATTGTGGATGCATTAGAAAGTATAGCTGAAGACCAATCACAAAAGGGAGAAACTACACGAGAGGCAGAAAACATTGCAAACAAGATGCAAGAACTAGAGTTTGTATTCACGTGGACCATGTGGAATGAAATTTTACAACACTTTTACTACACAAGTCAAGCTCTCCAAGAAAAAGAATTGGATTTGAAAACATGTGCAGACCTCTGTCAAATCATTAGCAGACCACTTATACACTTTGAGGAATGATTTCGAAAGATTTGAAGACAAATCAAAAGATATCTTGCGCAGTCCCGCAAGCGAATCAGGAAAAAACAAGCAAATGATAGCAGTGCAACAGAAACAGCACTGAATCCTAGAAACAAATTTTGCGTAACTACTTACTATACTATAATTGATACACTTGAAGCTCATTCGAAGAGGAGAGGTGAAGCGTACAAAGAAGTATCAAGTAGATTTTATTTTCTAAACTATATGGACTTATCTGATGAACAATATTCACAAGGTTCCCAAAAGCTTGTTGACCTATACCCTGTTGACTTTAACATGAACCTCTGTGGAGAAGTACGGCAGTTCCACTGTCATATGCGCACAAAGTTTAATGAAACAGGAAAAATGAAATTCAGTCACATTGAATTTCATGTCACAATATTGAAAGATGAACTACAATGTGTATTTCCAAATGTAGAGATCACACTATGTATTTTTCTAACATTGATTATTACTAACTGCTCTGCAGAACGCTCTTTTTCTCAGCTGAAAAGAATAAAAAACAGTCAGAGAACAACGTGTCAGGACAGACTTGATTCACTTTCCCTATTGTGTATGGAAGCGGACATGCTTCGTCGAGTCAGCTTCGATGAACTTATCCAGAATCTTGCAATCAGAAAATCTAGAAAGAAGCTATTTTAATTTCAGCATACATGTAAGTTTTGTGTCATTTCGAAAAATAAATTTTATTTTACAATATAGTATTGTTTTTATTTTGAATTACATGCAGGGTGGGGGCACCATAATCTTTTCAGTGCTTAGGGCCTTTAAAGGTCCTAATCTGGCCCGGATTGTTTCATGAATGAATCCTGCTCAAGTATCAGAGGAGTAGCCATGTTAGTTTGTGACTGTATCCACAAAAACATTGAGGAGTCCGGTGGCACCTTAAAGACTAACAGATTTATTTGGGCATAAGCTTTTGTGGGTAAAAATCCACTTCTTTAGAGATGCAGGGAAATCCCACCCTCACTCACAGCGGCTGCCCAGGGGGACGCACCGAACCCCTACCTCCACTCATCATTCAGCCACTGGCTCGTGAGGAAAGACCCCGATTCGCCCGGTTCTCGCGCACACCCGCAGTAGCTGGGCAGGGTCGGAGAGGCGGGGACCGCACGTCCCAGTGACGAGCCACTGCACCCCAGCCACGCCCCCAGCAGCAGAGCGAAGGGGGCGGGGCGGGGCGAGGCGAGCGGAACCAGCCTCCAAGACGCATGCGCATTAAGCGAGTTCACGGAGGGGTGCCTTCCTGTTGCTCCTGCCTGTCGGTATCCGTATCCGGGTCATTCTGGTGAAATTGCCCCGGTCCCGTTCCCGCGGGGTCATTGTGTCGCTGCGGGTTTCCGGTCCTCCTCCCCCTCCCAGGGAGGTTTGTGTGTCGGTGCGGTTGCGGCACCGCCGTTGAGCCGGTTTTTTTGCTTTCTTCTAGTCCCCCTCCCCGTGCTTGCCCTCATGGAGCCGCCCGGGCAGGTAGGGCGGGGCCCCCGAGAAAGGGAGCACGGCGGACCGGGCCAGGTACGGAGGAGCTGCCCCTGGCTTGGGGCTGAGCAGCTGCGGGGAGCCCGTTGCCCAGGCGCCCCCGGGGTGCCTGGGGCCGGGCAGGCGCGAGGGGAGCTGTTGTGAAGCCGGGGAGGCCTCTGCGAGCGCTGCGGTGTGATGCGGGGTCCCCTTCCCCCGTGTGTCTGCAGGGCACGAGGGGTCCTAGGGCTCGACTGCGCCTGGTGTCACTCAGCGACTGCCCCTTCGCCGCCCGCCCCCGGGGCAGCTGTTGTGTGTGTGAGACGCCGACCGCCCCCGGCCGGGCTGTGCTTGCGGTTCGCGTAGAGGGGAAGTAGCCTGATCCCTTGGCCTGCCTGTGTCCGCGCTGGCAATCTCTGGCCTGGTGGCAGCCGCAGTTTGGGGCGACGGAGATTGTTGTAGCAAAACGTCTCCTATGTTTTCAGAGCTGTCCTCTCAAGCTGGGATCATTTAAATCAGGACGATTGACTAAAATATCTGAAAATGTTATCTGAGTGCGCCACTGAGGTGTCATTGAAACACACATAGCAACCCCTTTTTGTTCAGTAAAGGGTGCGTTAAACAACTCCTTAAAATTACTTGCAATGGAGATTTGTTGTGTATATATTCCCTCTGTCCCCACGTGCTATTGGTACCCAGGCTTCTCTTTTGGAGGCATAAGTAATAAACTAGCCTAGCCTAAAATACAAAGTGATGTCGAATAAATGGAATATGCTATGGGCTAACTCTTTATATGTAGCATTTCCATATATTGTGTCATGGAGATCACAACATTTGTGACTTCCTTTCACCTCTGTGACATTTTCGGGCTGGGGCTGGGGCTCCTAGCCCCCACCATGGTGGGGGACCCTCCAAAGCTACCCAGCCACAGCAGGCAGTGGGGGGATCATGAAGCAGCCCGGCCATGGTGGGCACTGGGGGGAGACCCTCCAGCTGCCCAGCTGGGGACCCTGCAGCTCCCAGCCATGGTGGGGGACCCCCCCGCTGAGCTCCCAGCCACCCCGATAGGGGGGATGACAAGTGGACCCTACAGCAGCCCAGCCCCTGTGGGCAGGGGGACCCCAGAGCTCCCACTCCCCACAGCAGTGGGGGATCTGGAAGCCCCAGCAAGAATGGGTGCTGAACCCACCTCACTGTTTTGTCAGATATTTTTAGTGAAAGTCATGGACAGGTCACGGGCTTCAGTGAATTTTTGTTTATTGCCTGTGACCTGTCCATGACTTTTAATAAAAATATCTGTGACAAAAACTCATCCTTAATTATGGATGTTCCTTTGTAATTTGAAGTTTTGCTCTTCCAATGCTGTGAGGTCCAGTTAATGAGAGAAATGTATCATGAATTGATAATGTAGAATGACTTCTCTCTAAAAATGTCATCTTTTATTCATAGTATTAGGTGCTCACCACAGCCTAACATCACTTGGCTCTCTCACAATAATGGTGATGATCAGGCACTCCAAGTTCATGTGGGGAGTAGTGGAGGAATTGGCCAGCCTTCACCTTATAACATCTTATAGATAACTGAAATGTTTTATGTGGTTAGGACTTTTTTACTGTGTTAAGTTATAGTGACTAATACCAATATGATCCTTGTGCTCTGTGAATAGTTAGACTCTGTTTACCTTCAAGATCTGTCTTTTTACCCAGGCTTTTGTGATGGGAGGAATACAATAAGGGTTGGTATTTAAGTGTGTGGCAGGGTTTTTGGTTATTTTCTCATGTCTGGATAAGCTGCTGTGTATTTGTTTTTCAATGTTATTGTATCTTTAATATTATATCTAAGGCAGCAAGAGGCCTGTATAGTTATAAATCTAACTAAATTAAATAGCTAATATTGCTAGCCTGATGAGGCATTCACAGGTGAATAAAGGCCCCAATTTATTAAATTACAGCTATTTCAAGTGACAGTGTAGAGATTAGGAAAAGTATTTTTAAAAAGCTTCTTTCTGTGAATATTTTCATATACATATCTTTTAATGTTCAATTTTCATAATGAAAGAATCCTGTAGGTATGGCTTACGTACCAACAGAGGATGAAAGAAGAATTTTCAGGGAATGCAACGAAGAGAGCTTCTGGTATAGATGTGAGTCAAGTTTGCTGATAAACCACCTTTGTCTCCATTTTAATCTCCTCTTTCTTCCTTCTTTGTAGTGTTGTTTTTGCCATTATCACAGCTATTTAAGAATGAGAGCCAAAACCTACAAATCCTTACTCATGAGTAAGGACCATTTGTATGAGAAGCTTCACTGAAATCAAATTATACACTAAGATAAGTAATATTATGGAAGGAAAATGCTTGTCACATCTCCCTGAATACTTGATCCATTAGCATTTACACTAACTGTTTTTAAGATCCAGTCATAGGGCCCGTTTTGCCTCTCATAGTTACACAGGCTTGTAAAGCACCTCCCCACAATCTACTGTTAGTGTGAGGGAGCCTCTGTGCTTGTTGGGGTCAGCTCCCTGACTCCACCACCACGGGGCAACACATACACTCCCTCCTCAGCCTACACGGACTCTGCTGTCCCTCTGCAGGTTAGCGATAGACACACTACAACCTCTGAGCATTTCATTGTGGTGCTTAGCTCCTGTTCCCCAGTATTGACAGATACTGTTCCCAAAGGAACAGTACACCTCAGCTTACCAGTTATATCTTAGGTCATAGCTCCACTTTACACACAGCATTTAGAAATGTTTATAGTGAAAACAAGTAATGTATGTTTATTTAACAAGAATAGAGATTTGAGAAGTAGCAAGGAAAAGTATTGGCAACAAATGGTTACATGTAAAATAAAATCATAATACACATTTTAGAGCCTAGACTTAACTAGATACTTTCCTGTCTAATGAAGTTTAGCTCACCCAAAGTCTTTGCAGCATTTTCCAGTGAGGTTGACTGTGACCCTCCTTTCATAAGACAGACCATGATGATTGTTCATCTCCTACATGAAGGATCCTGGGTGTATATCAGTACACCGTTGTACCCCCAGAATCCATTATTTTTACTTGTAAACAGGATATTCCCCTGTTGTTTTAGGTGTTGGTTTTTTTAAAGCTTTCCTCTCTTCTGATTTCAAAGTCTCTTGATTAGCATCAGGATCAATAATGCAAATAGGTCTCCATTGTGATGCATACAATGAACGATACATAAGTGATCAGACATAGAGAGATAAGCATCTGCTGTCCTTTCCCTGAAGAGAACCTCTCCATGGCACATCACATCCTTGTGACCTACTTTAACTTCAAGGCTTTAAGAACATAATTTTTGGTATAGATACTTCTTAAATATTATCCATCATTTGCAGTGTTGTTTTAGCTGTGTTGGTCACAGGATATTAGAGAGATAAGGTGGGTGAAGGAATATCTTTTATTAGACCAACTTCTGTTGGTGAAAGAGAAAAGTTTTGAGCTACAATGAGCTGAAGAAGATCTCTCTGAAGCTTGTAAGTTTGTCTCTAAATATTATCCATACACCTGTTTCTCAGTGATGTTGATGATCTGTAAGCTACTGGCTCTTGGTAGAGACCTTCCATGCCACGCTTTGGTGAACTAGTGTTCATATGCTTGACCTCAGAGATCCCTGTAAATGCCTATGCCCCTGCCCCGCCCTTCTCCTCTGTCAGTTCACGTCAAGAGGTCCCTGGATCACAGCCTCATCCTGCAAACCTTTATACAAGTTGGCCCTCAAAATTAGTCTGACTGTTCATGCGAGTAAGGGTTTGTAGGATTTGGATGGCTTTCTAAACCATGTAAATACTAGTGAAACATGCAAAAGACTGCGATAAGGCATTTCTGTATTTTTGAATTTCTGCAGCAGCTTCATGCATTTTTTTAAATTGAGGTTTTTATTGAATTGAATATGAAAATGAAAAATTCAGTGCAATAGCTCCTGTTTTGATATTCAATTCAGTTTATTTTACACTGTCCTCATATTTTCAGTTCTGAGTTATGCAGATTATCTTTCATAGGTCATTAAGGTAAATGGGACAGTTCACACCTCTTAGAACCATTGTTTGAGTCTCTCTGCAACTTCAGTAAGAGAACAAACATCAATAAACATATTTTACATTCAATTTGCCTCTCAGGGTATGTCTACATAGCAACTAGACACGTACCAGGCTGGCTCCTGCCAGCCAACTCCAACTTATGGGGCTGTTGCATTGCAGCGTAGACTTCCAAGCTTGGGATGGAGCCCAGGCTCTGGGACCCTCCCACCCTGCAGTGTCCTAGAGCTTGGGGTTCTCCCTGCAGCCTGAGCCCCACCAGCCTGAGTTAGCTGACATGGGTCAGACATGGATATCTAGTTGCCATGTAGACATACCATCAGAGGAAATCTCTGCAGCCATGAGCACTAGAAATATTTTATTTAATGAAGGCTGAGACTGGAGCATGACTCTACAGCAAACTGAATTGTGCAAATCATAATACATGGGGCCTGTGATCATGCATTGTCTTAACAGAATGATGCTTGCCCAATATACAATGTGATTTGTTTCAATTATCAAAACAATGTTTTTCACAAAATACTGAAGAATTATTGACCAAAATGGATTGCATTATTACTTTACATTTTTCCCCCCATCCAAAAGGCCAGCACTGCTTCTTCATTTAGGAATGGCCTGGAGATTATGAAATTATCTTTTCGGATATGAGTCTTCTGTCTGTCATCTGTGCTTTTGTCATCTAAAGAGTAGATTGCTGCACTATGGTTTTTATGAGGCTGCATCTTAATTCTTTGTGGAAACTGAAGCTAATGTAGCATTTAGCAGTCTGTTTGTTGAACAGTATGTTTTTATGTGAACTTAGTGCACTGGGACCCTCTGAGTTGAACTAACTGTCTGGTTTGGGGTAAATTCCTATCTCTCTGGAAAAACCTCATTTCCCCTCAATTTTGGGATTCTCTCCCAGCATGGTTTGAAATAGCTGGAATCTTGAATTTCCAGTCATACAGCAAGAAACCTCTTTGGTCCCTAGCTTTTGGGAAAGGGAGGTAATGATGAGGGTTGTAAGTGATGGGAAGATTGTGGGTTCAGTTAATGATCATCTGATTTTTATTTTTTTTAACTAGGACATTGCTGGTGATTGGGGTGATGGTTGACATTTTAAAAAGAGCAGAGTAGTTGCTATCTTATTTTTATATATACATTGAAAGAAGTGAAATTGTTGAAACTCTAAATTAGTTTCCAAAATATTTCCACTCAGTTACTCAATTTTAAGAGGATACCTTCCACCAGATTTTTCAAATTTAAGTGTAGTGTTATCTTATTCATAGAGTTTAAGGCCAGAAGGGACCATTAGATCAGCTGGTCTGATCGCCTTTATATTACAGGCCATTAAACTTCAGCCAGTATCCCTGTATTGAGCCAATAACTTATGATTGTGTTTGGCTAACACATCTTCCAGAAGGGAATGCATCTTGATTTGAAGATATCAGGAGAGAGAGAGAATCCGCCACTTTGAAAAGATTGCAAATTATAATTCTTCTTTTTTTCTCTCTATTGATAAGCTACTTTTTCCCCCCACAGCTGTTCCTATTTCTGCAGTAAGCATGATTGTCACTCAGGGCTTAATTAAGAAAGGTAAACTTTAAAACATCTTTTGGTTTAACTTCAGATAAGTTTTACTTGTGCTCTCAACAAGGTTGTCATGCATAAATTTGATTTTTAAATCATATGTAAGTAGATTAGAAATATGTATAGGAAATATTGCGAAAACTTGAAGAGTGGAGAAATGCAAGCTTTTGTACATGTGGGGAAGAAAAAATATTCAGTAAAAGAAATATTCAGTAGTAGGGAGAAACCTCCAAAGCAGTAACTCTGAAAGAAATCTAGGGATGATAGTAGATTTTGGAATTGGATTGGAATGGAAAATACTTTAATATTAAAATATCATGATATAAATGAGGGTTTCCCCTCATCTAGAATATTGTATTCATTTGTGGTCATGTCTAAGGCTACGATTTAGTCACAGGTCATGGGCAATAAACAAAAATTCATGGCCCGTGTCCTGTCCATGACTTATACTAAAAATGCCTGTGATTAAATCTTGGGAGTGAAGCTCTGCGGGGAGACACTGTGGGGGCCATGACTGCGGGGGGCGCTGGGGACCGTGGCTGGCAGGCCACTGCTGTGGACCACAGCTGCTCCGGCCGGCCGGGAACCGCTGCCCGGGGCCACGGACCGCGGCTGTTCCGGCCGGCCGGGAACCGCTGCTGGGGGCTGCCGGAGCAGTTGTTGGTGTGGCTGTCCCCAGGGCCACTCCAGCAGTGGCCGGTGTGGTTGTCCCAGGAGCCACCTGAGCAGCTGGCCCTGGAGTCAGCCACTCTGGCCCCCTGCAGAAGTCACGGAGGTTGCGGAAAGTCACGGAATCCATGATTTCTGCGATCTTTGTGACAGACATGGAGCCCTAGTCATGCCATATCAAAAAAGGATATTGTGTAACTAGAAGAGGTTCAGATATGGGCTATGAGAATGCAAAAAAGCATAGAAAAAACTTGCTTATGGAAACTGAAAAGACTGGGATTGTTTATCTCAGAGAAGAAGCAAATAAGAGGGGATATAAGTCTACAAAATTAATTGTTATAAATGAGGTAGAATGGGAACGTCTTTTTTTCCATGCCTAAGTAAAAACAAGGGAACCATCAATGAAATGGTGCCACATTCAAAACTCATACTTGGAAGTACATATTCATGCGATGTGTAATTAAACTGGATGTCATAGGATGTTGCTGAGACCAAGACCGTGGCAAGATTCAAAACGTATTTGACATTTCTATGGATTTCAAGAATATTTAGACATAAAATATCAAGTATTTAAAAAAATAAGTGGGAAGGGCTGTAAAACTTTACGCATCAGGGTTTAAACCAGTGATCACCAACCGGTTGATTGCGGGGGTGGAGGGGCAGGGTTCTCCCTCTGTGCACTACTCCTGCCTGCAAGCACTGCCCTCGTAGCTCCCATTGGCTGGAACGGGGAGCTGTGGCCAATGGGAGCTGCAAGGGCGGTGCTTGCAGAGAGGGGCAGTGTGTGGAGCCATGTGCTGCCCGCCTCCTCCCAGGGGCTGCAGGAGCATGTTGGCCCCTTCCAGGAGTGGCGTGGGGCCGGGGTAGGCAGGGAGCCTGCCTTAGCCTCGCTGTGCCACTGGAGCCGCTGGAGGTAAGTGTTGCCTGGCGGGAGGCTGCACCCCAGCCCTGAGCCTCCTCCCGGAGCCAGCACCCAGAACCCTCTCCTCCACCTTAAGCCCTAGCCCTGACCCCCGTCCCAGAGCCAATACCCCACCCCCTCCTGCACCCCAACCCTCTGCCCCACCCCTGACCGCCCTCCCAGAGCCAGCACCCTGTACCTCCTCCTGTACCCCAACACTCTGCCCCAGCCCGGAGCCCCCTCCTGCTCCCAAACTCCCTCTCGGGGCCCCCACCACGCATCCCCTCTGCACCCCAACACTCTGCCCCAGCCTGGAGCCCCATCCTACACCCAAACTCCCTCCTAGAGCTTGCACCCCTCACCCCCCCACACTCCAACCCCCTGCCCCGGGCTCAGCCCAGAGCCCCCTCGCACACTGCAATCCCCTTGGTCCCAGCCCAGAGCATGCACCCTTCCTAAATCCCAACCACCTACTCCAGCACAGTGAAAGTGAGTGGGAGGGGGGGGAGGGAGGAGATGGAGTGAGCGATGTGGGGCTTTGGGGAAGGGGCTGGGGTAGATCCTGGGTTGCCCTTAAATTCAAAAAGTGATCTTTGGCATAAAAAGGTTGGAGACCGCTGGTTTAAACCATTCTCTAGCTGTTAGGGGTTAGAAGGTGACTTCCCTGGGAAGGTAGATTACCTTGCATCTGTGTGGGGTTTCTTGGACCTTCCCTGAGGCATGTGCTAACCTGAGTAGGAGACAGGAACTGGACTAGGTAGGCCAAGATCTGCTCCAGTATGATGATTCTTATGTTCCTATGATAGTTTGTCTCTATGAGAGCTTGTAAGACCACAACTGGAAGTAGTGCAGTCTGTACTGAGTAACCCAATTCCAGAAAGGTGTAACAAAATGAAGGGAGTTAAGAGAAGAATAACAAAATGATTAAGAAAAATTCAAATTCCTAGTCACATAGCTTCAGCAGCACTTGAAACTGCAGAAAGAGGGGAACTTAGAATTGACTGAAATTGCCTCATTCACCTTGTGTTGGGGTATTGTGTTCTCCAGAGAGCGATTATACATCCCATATATACTGCAATACCTAGTTGCACAAGGTGGGATAAAGCCGGAATTTTAACTCTTGAATTTTCTAGTTTTGTGGCTATAAGTCAGAAATGTTGTTGGGATTTTTCTTCTTAAAAAGTTAAAACAGCTCATGTAGTGCAGAGGATTAACTACTATGGCATGGTCACATGAAAAATTAAATGTTAATCTGGTTATTTAAATTCATCTTTGTGATCTTACTAAAATAATTATTTTACATATAGTAAGTAATTACTTACTTTGCTTATTTTCAGGAATTCTCACCACTCATTCAAGGTTTGGCTCTCTTCCCAAAGTTGCATGTAAGTATAAACCACATGTTAGTTCAATTTACCAGAATCTAGTTCATGAAGTGCATCAGTTACCCTGCCAAAAAGCCAAAGCAACTCAACTGTAGCCAGCTGAGTCATTTCAGATGTATCTCAGTGAACTTTCTCTGGATTTATATTGGTGTAATTTGAGATCAGAAGACTTCCCTATATGGCAATCTAATATTCACAAATTCATTATTTCTCTATCATAAATAGCAAGACTTTCAAATTCATTTTTAGTCAGTAACTTCCTTTCATTTTTCCTTCCCAACAGCACAGCTAGAACTATAATAGATAATTACTAAACATCTCTTTCAATATTATTTCTATCAGAAATAATTAAAACTTATTCAGGCTGAGTGGTGAAGTCATCTCCAATTTAAATAAAGTGGCTATTCTGAGAAGTGGGATTGTTTAATGTACTGTATCCTTTCACCCACAAATTGGGTAGACTGTTATCAGGTGAAAAGTATAATTCCTCTGCACTCTGAATTCGCATGACAGGGTCTGCAAAATTTCTGTGTATAGCATTCATGTAAAACCCTGCAAGATTGCAGAAGTTCTTGATAATTATCCTCTGAGACTCTAGTAGTCCAAGATGGTAAAACAATGCATAACTTTTAAGAAATGAGAGGAGATTGGTTTTAACTTGCAGTAATGGCCTTCCAGCAGTAATTCTTTGTATGTGGTGAAAGTCATTGTAAAAGGACACTCTCCATTTAAAATCACACTACGGTATGAATTTTTTACTTGATGTTATTAAAAGTAATACTTAAGAGTGCTGTAACTGAAAGATTAAAGAAATACAAATTTTCTGTATTTTCAGTTTGCCTTCTGCAGTTAACAGTTTGTATATAGGCAGCTTCTCCTATTGTGCGGGGTCTTTCATGCTGCAACAGGGAAGAAAGAAACATTTATAATCACATTTCCTTTATTTTCTTCTTTAAATCACAAACATTTTAGATTCATAGATTCATAGATATTTAGGCCAGAAGGGACCATTATGATCATCTAGTCTGACCTCCTGCACAATGCAGGCCACAGAATTTCACCCACCACTCCTAAAAAAAGACCTCACACCTATATCTGTGCTATTGAAGTCCTCAAATTGTAGTTTGAAGACCTCAAGGAGCAGAGAATCCTCCAGCAAGTGACCCGTGCCCCATGCTACAGAGGAAGGCGAAAAACCTCCAGGGCCTTCCAATCTGCCCTGGAGGAAAATTCCTTCCCGACCCCAAATATGGCGATCAGCTAAACCCTGAGCATATGGGCAAGATTTGCAGGAGACTTGGTCAGGTTTGTACCTGAAATTACTTCTCTCTTTTGACAATGACTATATTTCCAGCTGATAGTGCCAATTTAAATTTCTGATGACTCTTTGGCTTATGTAACTTTTCAGCATTATTGAAGTTTACAGGTCCAACTGTCTAATATATCATTTTAATCACATATTCCTGTTGCAGTGAAATCTGCCTTAAGAACTTTGCCAAAGCATACCCATCCCACGCTTCCTGATTTGAAGGTCATAATTCATGTCTCATTTGTTTCTTTCATGCTATCTTTTTTTCCTGGTCTCTGTGTATGCACAATTAAAGGAAACCTGCAATTTTATGTGAAGGATTTTGAAATCTGTGTAATCAGAAATATAAATCACTGTTTTAAAAAAGTCAGTAAAATAAAAATGAATAAATAGCAGTAAAACAGGAAGTTGTCATCGCTCCGCTCTGCCCACATAGATTCAGATCCTACTCACATTGACTTTAATAGCAATAGGAACAGGATCAGGCCTACAATTTGTGATAAGGGAAGTGCTGCTTCAAACATATAAATGAATGAGACAAAACTATCAGTCATTTAAGGCAAGTTCTGTTTTATTTTTTGTGCCTTGAACAATACTACTACACACATTTTTCTAATAAATAATAATTGCTACTTTGAAGGGACCGCCACATATTTCTAGTTCTGAGATGTATCCCTCCTGACCTGGTGCAATTGAACTTTGGGAATCTTCAAGAAACATAGGGCTAATTGGGACTACACAAGCATCACGTTAGAGCACAGAATTCTAGAAGTCAAGGTTATAAACAGTGAAGTTCCCAGCTACCTCATTTGTTGCTTTCTATGATTGGTTGTGGGTATACAGACTTTCACTTTGTACTGAGAAAACTTTCCACCAAGAATATTTGGTTGTAGTTTTGGTTGTTTTTTGGATTGGTAATTTCATGTAGTTTTTGCAAAGTTAAAATCTATGGCTGTCTCTGGCTTGGTTCTGGGACATCATGTCAAGGTCAGAGCCTAAAAGACCCGAGTTAAGTGATGTATTTAATGTCCCCCTCTCAGGTTAAACGCACAGACTTGCAGCCTGATGTGCTTTGATGATAGCCTGAATCATAGTTTAGCTTGCTGGTCTTTTATGTGTTAGTTCTAAAAGAACAGATACATTCTGCTCCATGCCTTCCTCTTGACAGAGGCCCATGAACCATACTCTGGTCAGGGAGAGGGTGGTTACTGACTTGAAGTTCCCCTAAAGTTTTCAGACAGAAGCCTTTGGTCCTAGGCTTTGCATCTTGATCCTGCTTCAGATTGGCAAAATATTGTGTATCTGGTCTTGTGGCTGTTTCAATGCCAAAAGGCTTACACTGGGCTTGTCTATGCTACAGGGGCACAGCTGTGGCTGTAGACATTTTCTACAGTAATGGAACAGTTTTTTCCCTTGCTGCAGTTAGTCCACCTTCTGAAAGGTAGTAGCTATGTCGAGGGAAGAATTCTTACGTTGACCGTGCTGCATCTATACTGGGGGTTAAGTCAATCCAACTATGCCATGTATGTCTCAGGACATTAGAGACATGGTGGGTGAGGTAATATCTTTTATTGGACCAACTTCTGTTGGTGAGAGAGACAAGTTTTCAAGCCACACAGAGGCCAGGTCTACGCCACAGATCTATATTGGTATAACTACGTCACTCAAAGCGTATGTCGTTATAGTCACTTAATCCCCCATTAGACAGTGTTATGTCAGTTGGAGAGTTTCTCCCGTTGACATAGCTACCACCTCTTTGGGAGGTCGATTAACCACGCTGTTCGGAGGAGCTCTCCTGTCGGCATAGGAGTGTCTTCACTAAAACACTACACCGGCGCAGCTGCACCAGTGCAGCACTGTATGCGAAGACAAACCCAGAGATCTTCCTCAGGTCTGGGAAGGAAACTTCCAACATCACAGCAAAATGCAAGGTGGAACAAATTATTTAGCATAAGTAGCGAGCACATATTATAGGGGACCATTCGAGATAGAGTGGTCCATTAACACCTCTGGAGTCATAGGACAAAAAGATGGGGTTAGTGAGTTACAGATTGTTGTAATAAGCCATAAATCCAGTGTCTCTGTTTACTCCATGATTTTTAAATGTCTAGCAGAGTAATGAGCTTAAGCTCCCAGGCTCATCTTTTGAAAGTGTTGTACAGGTTTCCTTTGAGGATGAGGACTGAGAGGTCAGATATAAAGCAATTACTTTGTGAAAAGTGTTCATTCACAGGTGATAAGGTATTTTGTCTTTTATCATTTTCCTGTGTGAGTTCATCTGAGAGTGTAGTAACTATGTGGGTGAAACCAGACAGTCGTTACTGGGGTATTTAGTGCACTGGATGAGGTATAACACCTTGTGATAGGCATGTATAGGATCTGTGAATCTTGAAAGGTGTGTTGTAGCAGTGGAGATATGTCTGCAGGTCTTGCATCTGTTTGTCTGGTGTTCCTTTTGAGTTTGCATATGCTGGTCTGTGGGGAGCTTGCTTCTGGTGAGCTTGGAGACATTGGGGGGTTGTTTGAAGGCTAGAAGAAAGGGTTCAGGAAAGATTTCTTTCAGGGTGGTGTCTTTCAGGATGGGTTGTAATTGTTTGATGATAATCCCATATGAATTCTAGTATGGGGTGGTAGGTGAACCAGCTGGTTTGACCAGCAGAGTTCCCTCAGTGCTGAAGACAGTCTCAGTACAAGGGAAGCCTCAGGCTAAGCTCCTGATGGGGCAATCTCCCCTCAGATCTAGGGTTTGTTGGGCTTGACGTTGTGGAAGCATCTGTTCTGTTTTCCTTTGCCATGAAGCAAAGGGGTAATGTGAAGCAGAGCTCAGTGAGAGCTTCCATGATAGAGAGCTCAGTGCTGTCACATGAAGCATGAGAGCATAGTAGAGATCTGACTTTTAAGGCAATTCTTGGTCTTCCAGTATCACTGATCTCTTGGACTTTGATTCTTTCCTTTGGAGATCGTGCAGGTCCCTTGGTTTCAGCACACTTCTGTGTTCTGCACAGTGCATGTTCTTTGTTGCAGAGATCTGGTGGAGTCCTCTTTTGAATCCAGAGGATGTAACTAAATCTTCTGTTCCAGAGCCTTAATTCTGGGTCTTTCCATCTCTCTCTCGGTACTATTTGGGAGAGGATAGGAGGATCACTGTAATGGTTCCCTGGATAATGGCATTTTGGATTCTGGTGAGTTCAGTCTCTTCTTCAGGTGTTACTAATTTTTTTCCTTAGTGACCTGGTTGGTGGTGTGTGATAGTGTTTATGTAGATTCCTTTCTTTTGTCCCCAGTTAATCCCTGGATAATCTTTCCATATTGGCAGGGACCTCCTTTAACTTCTTAATAGTCAAGCAACTGTAGAAGGCCAGTCTGAGATGTCTCTTCCTCTCAATCTCTCTCCAAAGAAGGGTAAGATGCAGTCACTACTTTACAAAAGCAGTTTCTAAAAACTGTTTCCCTTTATCAGTTATGGTCTGTAAAGTCTATGGAACTAGGCAAAAGAAACACTTGCATGTAAACCCCTGCCTTGCTTTCCCCATTATTCAAGCATTCTGGTCAGTGTCCTTTCAGTGTTACAGGTCCCCTTTGCTTGGCCTCACTTCTCCAGTTTGTCGTCTTCTCCAAATCCTGGAAAATCTCACCTCTGCAGTCAGTTTTCTTCAACTTGGACTAGTTCTGCAGTCAACAGGTACCCAGTCCCTTTTGTTCCTTTCCTCTCTGAGTCTATCTTTGTTTTTAAAGGCAGTATCAACACCTTCTTTGTCCCCTGTCCTGGGGAAATTCCATTCCTTCAAACCCTAGCCCTTTGAAGGGAAGTTAGAGAAAACTGCTTTTCAGTAGGATGCAGTTACTCCTTTTTTCTGCCCAGGCAAGATCTTTTCAGATGCTGATGGTTTTTAACAACCAACCCATTCCTAGGCAAATGCCCTAGTGCCAACCCCCTGTCCCATAGCACAGTAAAAGGCAGCTGTAAGACATAAGGATACACACAGTTCATAAATCAAACTGGAATTTCTAAGTTGTACATTGATTCCCCGGATCATCAAAGCATATCTTCCAGAAAGGCATCCAGTCTTGATTGAACACCTCAAGAGACAGAGAATCCATCACTTCCTTTGCTAGCTTGTTCTAGTGATTAATCACTGTAACTGTTAAAAATGTGTCTAATTTCTAATTTGAATTTGTTGGGCTTCAACTTCCAGCCATTGGTTCTTGCTATGTTTTTCTCTTAGATTGCAAAGCCCTTTGATACCTGTTAGTGTCTCCCTATGAAAGTATTTATACGCTGGAATTCAGTCCACACTCAGTCTTCTTCTTGATAAACTAAACAGATTGAACTCTTAGACCCTTACTGTAAGGTATTTTTTCTAATCCTTGAATAATATGTGTGTCTTTTCTTCACCCTCTACAATTTTTCAACATCCTTTAAAAAATGTGGGCACCAGAACTTTATCTTTATCATTTATCTTTATCAGTCAAACTTGTAATCTCATTTAAAAAATGAAATCCAATTTGTTTGATAAGATCAGTTGTCCATAAAACAGTGTTGATTGGCATTTAATTTTATTGCTAACCTTTAATTATGTATTGATTGAATCCCGGATCACCTTTTGCCATTATTTTGCTCCCCTTCCCACCCTCTGAACCCCTCGGTCCCAGCCCAGAGCACCCTCCTGTATCCCAAGCTCCTCATCCCCAGAGCCTGCACCCCCAGCCCGGAGCCCTGTCCCATACCCTGAACTCCTCATTTCTGGCCCCACCCCAGGGCCCACACTCCCAACCAGAGCCCTCACCCCTTTCCGCACCCCAACCCCAATGTTGCGAGCATTCATGGCTTGCCATACAATTTCTATTCCCAGATGTGGCCCTTGGGCCAAAAAGTTTACTCACCCCTGGAATGAGGGGGTGTGTTGAGCATGTTTGGTGGTTGTCTTGGGCATGCCCAAAAGAGCCTTCTGAACATCAGTAGAGGAGTGAAAAAACCTGTAATTATTTGAAAAGAATTTTTAATCAATACAGGGCATATTATTTAAAGGATGCTCTATGAAAAACTGATTTTTTTAAGTCCGTTTAAAAATGATGTAAGTTGTCTCTTTAATATATTGAAAGCTGTTTTGGAGGGTCACTTGTAATATATATTGAAATATGAAAATGTGTCTTATTTTGTTACTGTTCTTAAAACTCAAGTCAGGTAATGAAAACTAAAGGCTCTGATGTTAACCAACTCATCCATGTTCCACATAGATTATATTTTATTGTATACGCTTAAAATTGATATTCAACACATTTTAAAAGTGGGCAAGGGATAAAAAGAAATTTAGTTTTTTATTTATGGATTTTGTGTGTTAAATGTTAACTTCGTATATATTCTGATTTACCTAGTTTTCTTTTAAAAGGGGTTATGGAGAAAGAAATATAAATGGATATTCTTGACTATATATGAAGTGTTTGAAGAAACAGTTCCTTAAGAAACACTGATTTTGCTAGGCAAGTTACTGGGTCATTGATGTAAGACTTTCCCTTTAATAAACCATAGACTGTCCCCTTTTTAAAAAAACAAACAAACAAAAAAAAAAAAAACATTAAATGAAATGACTAGACAGATACCTTCTCTGCCTTAATGACTTATTGCCAGTCAGAATCTTTTATTAAATTCAAAAAGTGACATTCTTGACCTGTGAAGTAGGGCTGTTCACGACTTGAAATTACTTTTCTGTGAGTTTTTGTTCAAATATGGAACAACTTTATTATTTTTTTAATTTTAGAATTTTCTACAATTTCCAGATTTCCTATTGAGTCTAAATTTTGTTTTGAAAAATAAAGTCTGTTTCTACAGACTCTGAATGAAATTGATGAGGCTCTCTGAGCTGCTCAGCTGGAAACCTTAAAGCCCTAGCTCTAGTCAGTTTCCAGAGCTGCCAGGCCTACTGTTGTGCAACAGGGAACCCAAAGTGTTGAGAATCCTAGCTTGAGACCCTTGGGAGTCTTGGTCCAGAGATCTTTATGATTGTCATCCTTCTCTCCTCTCAACTGCCACATCTGATGGCTGCCTGCTTGTCTCAGGTACTTCATTATGACTTTGTTCATCTGTCACCTTACTCTTTTAGTACCTTCTCTGGACAGGAGTACCAAAGAAATATTAAAGATGCTGCCTTTTTTGTTCTTTAAATCAAAACTGAAGACTAACTTATTTTCATTTGATACTATGGCACCGTGTACTACATTTTTAAATGATTCTACTTTTATTGTAAAGTGTATTGATGTTATGGTGCAGAGTATGTCAGAGTTGCTCTTTTCTTTACATATAAGTTGCCGGTATATGTGGATATATTGCTGGAAAGATTTCTTACATGTCGGCCTGCCAGGAGAAATTCAAGAGACTGGAGAATTCCCCAATAGGAGAAAGTATACGACAAGGGCGCAGACCTCTTCCACATGAGTAAGACTTCAATTCTTTCACTTTCTTTAAGTTCTTAATTTTTTTTTTCTTTCTTGTAAGAAGTTCATAGAAAGATCAGGGCTGCGTTTGCAACTTGCAATGATCTTGAGAGCTGAATTTTTCCTTCCCTTCCAGCAACTTGTTACCTCCAGGAAACTCATTCTTTGTGAATTCACAAAGCAGCGGCATCAACTGAAAATTATAGTTTGAGCTCTGTTATGTACAACAGAGTATTTTGTCGAGTCAAGCAAAGAGTGCTTTTGTAAGCAAAAATGTACTAGAGTGTACACTCAGACTTTGGTTTCCTGTGGGATTTACTCATGCTAATATGACCTTACACAAGTTTTCTCTTGATAGTTTAGAAGACAACTGAAATAAAATAGCTTCACTTGTTGGAAGTGTTCCAGTAGTTTAGTTTGACTGAGGGTGAAATAGAAAGAGGGTGGAAATAATAATAAAAGGAAAGAGATCAGTAAGCAATACTAGCTAAGGAAGACGTATGGTGGACAAACTTATTACTTTCCTTTGTTCACAACTTTAAAATCTATAATAGTGGAGAAGCATGACGCCATTATGCTCTATTTGTGAAAAACTCATCAAGTTCTTTAAAATATTTCCTGTTTTGTTTCAGAAATGTTTTCCTACTTGATATGGTTTTTAATAACATTAGTTTTGTAACCTCTGACCTATATAAATCTTTATATAATTCACTGCTCAGAAAATGTTATTTGGATAGCAGTGAGCAGTAGTCTAGTTTATGTAATGGTTACTGTTACATAGACAGACGTACTTTTTAAAACCTTTTAACAAGGACTTGATTAGTCTCTTAACTGCTTTCCAAACTGGCTCTCATCAAGCTCTAGTGCACTAAAAATAGATCATAGCCAGGGCAGCACAAGGGGGCGGGGTGGGGGGAGGCGGTGTGAGCTGCTGCCTCCAGTAAGTTCCTAGCATCTGATGGGCATGCACTCAGCAGCTATCCCCTTTTGCTGCTCACACTGCCGTGCTTCATTCTATTAGTGTGCTAACTCAAGTATATCTCGTCAAACTGGGAATCCCACTCCCAGCTTGAAGTGTAGACTTACCTATAAACGTGGTAATCTTATACCTATAGGACAGTCAAGAAAAATATATACACAGGATAACTGAATTACATCCCCGCCACTTTTTGCTTTCCTTTTTCTAGCCTCCTGAGACTCTTCCGTGCCCCCTTATAAAACGTTCAGCTTCCCTTCTACCCCACCACCCCCAAAAGTGAATATGAATGCTTAAATATATATACACGCCATGTTACGGTGGTGTTTTAAATAATTGTTGCGGGAAAAGGGAAAGGTTAAAATAACAATATATGGTCAATATAAAAGGTGTTGCTTTTATATTGTTAATTCTGTAATAAGATATATATCTATATGTGTAAAGACAATGTAACTGTAATGTCTTATTGTAAGTGATCGAAAATATGAATAAATAAAATCTCCTTCTCTCCCTTCTCCTCCAAAAAAAGTAAGAGATGAATCAGGCCTAAATTACTACAATAGACAACTTTTTTTGCATGTAACCAATTGATGTCCTCTTCTTTTAAAAAAATTGTTTCTAATCATCATTCCCCGTGTTAATTTTGTGCCAGAAAACTAATTCAGCAAGTCCATATAAGAGGGAGGAACATAAGACTTTTGTTTCCTCAAGATAATTCTTTTGTCCCCAGGATAGCTACTGTGACTTTTTTTTTTGGTATTGATAAGTCATAGCAGCTTCTAATGAAGGGTTTTAAGTTGCATCTTGGCTTCTCAAACCACACTTCTTCCCCCAAACTTTCAAAAATAGCAGCTACTGCTAGATTCTTATGCCACCACTAGCTCATGCAGGCACACCCTGTTCTATCTGTCTGATGTGTTTTGTCTGTCTGAACTGTCTTTGGGGGCAGGGATTGTGTCTTACAGTATTTATCTTGTAAAGTTCCAAGTCCATGACTGGTACTCTGTCTATATTCTGTATTTTTTTTTTTTTTCAGATAGGACTCAAGTTTCTTATGTATGCTCCTTTTTTAAAGTGTATATGTGTTAAGGAGGGGGACATACAGATCTTTTTGGACAGTTTAAGCAGAATCAATTACCTTTTTCTTTTAAAATCTGTTAATACTTAGTTTTAAAAATTAATTGTATTAAAACCTTTAATCAAGGAAATTTTATTCCTCAACCCATCGTGTGTCGTGCTTTAATTAAATATTTCCAATCTTAATATCCAATTGTGTTGTTTTTTCCAGATATGCTGCTCAAAAATCAGAGTTTGCAAATTTGCCTTCTCAGTCACCTTTTGGATCTTCTCCAGCAGCTGAAGCCCCACTTTCTTCCAGCTATTCACATGAATATAGTTCAACAGATCAGTCCGGCTCTAATTATGCACCAGTTCCATTCAGTTCTTCTCTGAATGAATCCTCTCCTACTGGAGTTACTGAACATAATGCCCCAGGTATGGCTTGTCTTAATAAAGTTTATAACTTCATAGTACATTAATTCTTGTCTCTGTCCTGGATGTCTCTTATCTTCAGAGGTGAGAAGAATGTGAAAGTAAAGCTTCTTTTGTCATGATGATAAATATGGTATATCCCCTTAATTTGCTTGGATGTATACATTCTGTATATTCAAATTGCCTTGTTTCAGCACCTGTACAAATATACAGTATTTTTTAGATTGCAGTGGTTTTTGATACTTTTCTTTTTGGAACTTCAGCACATTCCTGTATGTTGACACAAAGCACATCGATCTACAGTATGTTTCTGTTTTAACATTTGTCTTTTTAAAACCAACTTAACTTATATTTTTTTTTAAAAAGATAACTGCAAGTAAAAATTATAATTTACAATATAGGGTTCTGTTTTCTCTTGCAACAACTGAGGACATCACTGAGCCTAAAATTTCCTGCATCCTTCATGCTGCTTTAGGTGTTAATGATGTCCTGGACTGTTGCAGGGGAAACACAAGATCGTGAACTCAGATCTTGGATGGTACCTAAATAAATATGATGATTTCTCTCTGTGTGTGTGTGTAATTTTAATGTACTTTAGATTTTTAAATTTAATTTTTGTGAAAAATCTTTTCATTATTTGACTCTAAAAGCCCCTTCACACAACTAATTTTTGCTAACAGATTTAGGGGCTGACATTTTAGACACATTCATAATCTTTATGGCTCCTTACACTGAAGCACTTGAAAACTGCAATTTTAACAGAATCCAGGAGTTGCTCTCTCCATGTGTGCTGAATTTATACAATAATTGATAATATATGAAGGGGAAAAAAATCCAAAATAAAGTATAGAAGTGATATTCAGAGGAGGAAATGTGTGCAGAAATGCAGAAATGAATGCTTGCAGAAGTGAACTTGGAGCTGGCAATGTACACATTAACATTATGCATAGGTTGATTTTGATTTTTAACTGTTTTTAATTAACTGGGTTTATAAAACTGGACAGTAAGGAATAGCATGAAAGAATAATGAAATAAATATGTAATTAATCCAATATGGAGTTTTTCCAAATACAGTTATCCCAATAAGTCTAAGAAACAACCCGCCTATTGATAACAGCAGCATTTTAATGTATAAAACATCATATTCTATCAAAAATCCTGATAACTGTTACCATTTAATGCAGACTGAGGGTTTCTCCAGAAATGATTGCCTTTAATATACAGATAGACTGATATCTTGCTCTATTGAAGGACCTGCTGTACGTGCTTTTGCTATTTCTGGAAGGACCGCAAGCCTGTATGCAAATCATAAACTTATCTGGATTTCTGAAAAGTCTAATTTATAAACTTAAATTTATTCCAAAATTATTTAGTTTTGTTATGCTTTTGTCAAGTGACCAAAACTTTCTCATCCACCAAGTGTTAAACAGCTTAAATCTTTCTGGTAATTTAGCAATATCAGAATGAGAAAACATAAATTAGTTAGTATCTTCCAGTTCTCACGTGTGCACAGAGACTGACAGTTTGTCTATCTCAAGCATAAATAAGAAAAAATCAATGAAGTAAGCTCAAAAATCAATCTTGATCTTAAAAAAAAAAAAAAAAGTAAAACTCTTGTTTGTTTCCATTTCTGTTTGTGATCCGATTTATAAATTTAGCTACTTTCTTGGGATTTACAAAGCTGACCATGTATCATTCAAAATTAATAATAGTTCAGCCAAAAAAACTGGAAGAACAAAAAGAAAATGTAATCAGGCCCTAGAAGAGTTGTCATATCCTGAAATAGCGTTCTCCCCCTTCCCTTATTAATTGTAACTCATAGTCCCAGATATGTTGATCATTCACATAGTTGCAGCCACCCATGATAGTGTTTACTGCTCAGTTTCTTGGATTGGGAGAAATCTTGCAGATTGTAACATCATTAATGGTGTATACCAAAATCAACAGTTTGTCATTTTGCCTAGACATCTTGCTCCTCCTCTTAGGTCATGAGTTGAAATCCTGGCCCAATTGAAGTCAATAGGAGTTTGCCATTGAAGTCAGTGGAGCCAGAACTTGACCCAAGGAATAAGTGAGCCCAAGTATTTGCATTAACTCATATGAAATTTGAGTCTTATTTCACAGAGTTCAACCTATTTTCATTTTTTTTGTTTGATAATCTCCATAATAATTAAACTGAGGTACTTCACTAGCCAACCAAGCAAAGTGACTCTAATAGTTGTAGAACAACTGAAGATGTAAAACAGCTCAAATTTCTGGTTCTTCCACCCCCCACCCCCCCACGATGCATCTGATTTTCTGTTCACCAAAGGTTTTGTTTATTAATCACCACTATATATTATTTAAAATGCTCTGTCAGTAGTAGTAGCACAAAATCATGGTGCTTAAATAGATGAATATGTTCTTATTTCCTAAACATGACTGGACTAGACATTCTTACTTTTATTCAGGGTCCCTCAAAGATATGACATTTTTAATATTATTGGGGGATGGTTAGGTTTTTTTTTCTTATTTTATCCAAGAAAAAGCCTAAAGAGCAATAACATTTTTGACAGATTTAAAATGGGGGGGGGGGGTGTGAATGAAATCAAACCCACAAGCCTAATAGTGCTTAGATGCCATGGAGTTTGGGCACTTTATAAATACTTAGGTGGCTGATCCATAACATCCTTTTCTCTTCAGACCAGTCTGATTTTCCCTTCTCCAAAGTCTTCATTTTTAAAAAAAAAGTTTTGCTGTGCTTGGAATGCACAGAATTCTCTTTATTCTTTAGAGTCTGAAAATATGGAAAACTCTTGCTTTGGGTTGCGCTATCTGCTCAGACTATGACTGCTGTACCATACTGATGTACTCCCAACAGAGCAAAACATGTCTCTGCTGTCAGTCATGATCTAGGTGAACTGCTAGCTGCTTGAAAAGCTGTTTGTGGCAGTGCTATACATAGAAATTCTGCTTTATGTTCTTATTTGTGTGTCACTACTCAGTTTTCCCAGCCCACAACTACTTCATAACATTGGTGGCATCTGAGAATAAAATGAAAAGTTTCAGAATGTATAGAGTGCTTTTACAATACTTTTAAAAAACTGAATTGCAGTTTAGGATTGTGGCTGTAATGTGTCCCATTTCAGTCTCAATTGAGCTACAATTGATTGGCATGCTAAAAAAAAATGTTGGGTTAATTGCAGCTGTAATCAAGTGTAGTTGGGTGTTGCTAAATCTTCTCACTGCATATATGTATATATATATATTTTTTAAAGAACCTGTTCCATTCCTAGAAGAAAGTCCTAAGAGAAAAAGTGTCTCATACGAGGAGTTAAGGAATAGAAACAGAGAGACATATGAAGGAACATTAACACAAAAGGCAGAGACTCCAGTCAAGTCTTCACAGGAGAGACCATTTAAAAAAGAAGGTAATCTGATGCTGAATTGCTGCACTACGTAGTGAACATGGATGCCAAAGTAGCGTTGAAAAGGGTTAGTCTTGTGCTTTCCTTTAAGAAATCCCTAAAGGATAAACAAACAGTGTCTTGAGGTGCAAATGACAGAATTGTGTTTCTGACTTAGGTCACATTTGAACTGATTTCCTTTCTATGTATGGCTTATGTACAGCGTATTATATAGTTTCGTATTTCAAATTACTTCTTGTGTTGGAAAAAACATTGAAGCTTCAGTAGAAGATTATAATGATGGTACTACAATGATCAGGTTATCCATTTAGAGACAAATTGTGAAAAGCTTGATTAGTGCTTGGCTGCCTAGGCCTTTAGGCATATGGCTACGCAGCAAAGAAAAATCTGCAGGGTGTGCCAGCTGAATTAGGTTTGCAGGGCTTGGGCTGTGGGGCTGTTTCATTGCTGTGTAGATTTCGGGGCCTGGGCTCTAGGATTCTGAGAGGTGGGAGGGTCCCTGAGTCCATCAGTCTACACAGCAATGAAACAGCCCTGCAGTCTGAGCCCCACGAGCCTAAGTCAGCAGGCATTGGCCAGCCATGGATGTCTAGTTGCTGTATAGACATATCCAAATAAATAATTTACTGCATCACCGCTCTTTAGCAAAGGGTTCGATAACTAAGGTTTCTGACTGAGTTTTTTAGCTCTTGAAAGGGTGTATGTTAAGTTAGCATTCTCTCAAAACAGACCACATACCTGTTTTTAAAACATATTTTATGAATTTGGGGATTTGTGTAGTGTAGAATTTTGAGGGACGTGTCATTGTTTGCAGATGTTTACTGTTCTGTGTTAAAATTTAAAGGAAGGAACTAGTACTTGGCACCAGTGTTGAGATTTTTGTTTTCACGCTGGAAAACAGAACTTTAGACAGTAAAGAATGAAGTGACCTTCAAAATGAAATGCCATTCAATCAGTATAAAGCTATCTTTGGGAACCACACTTCTTATTTTGAATAAAAAAATTATTTTGCTGTTTAATGCACTGCAGGATCTGTCACTTTGAATCTTCAGGCATTATATTCAGGCCCCCATATACTCTGCATCACAATGGGACCAAATTCTGCAGCAACAACCCTTTAATTTTGTGGCAATGTTAATTTATTCTATCACTGTGAAATACTCTACATTTCTACACCGCCCACCCGCATACGAACATATGCAGTTTTAGCCCATAGCTGAAAATATCAATTGACATAAAATTCTTGGGTGAACATTTGAAACACTGGTTATTTTCAAAGAGAGGAGTTTTTTCACTCTATTTTCCATGGGGCCTGTAATACAATTAACTCCCCCTTGTGGGAAAAGCTGTAGAGCAAATGTAGCTGCAGGCTGGTCCTAGCAGGGCAAGGAGATAAAATATTGAGCACCTGCCTGGATCAAAATGATTATTTTTGTGGCAGACCCTCTGAATTACATGGATTCCTGGGGTAAAATGCCAACTCCTGTGGCTGTGGAATTCATGATGCCATGATTAAGATGAATGAGGAAGTTCACACCTCTTAGCTATTGTTCCAGGTTGTCTGTAGATTCAGGCAACTGACATTTCATCTGTGTGCATAGTTTCCTATTCAAGGTTTTCTCCACAGCCATAGAGACTAGAATCATATTTTCTTTAAATGAAAGCTCAAGTTCTGGAGCAGCACTTTGTGGCAAGGAGTAAACTCCACCGCAAAGTCTATGGCTATGGGATTGCAGAATACAAAGGTTCACAATTTTATTTATACTTTTTAATTTAGGATTTTTTTCACTATGGAACAATGTTTAAACATAACATAGGATCACAATAGATAGAATGTTATGTTACTTATCAGCTTTTGAAAATGGCACATGAGTAGTTCACTGAGCTTTCTACAAATAACTTGTAAATGTGGTTGCTTGCACTGTTTAGGAAAGTGGAGTAAAAGCAAAACTAAAATAAATGTAAATATTTGCTGGATAATAAATGACAGAAGTGCATGAAAGTCTGAAATTAATTTCAGGGAACTTACTGATGTCACTAACGGAGATGGTTCAATAGTAGAGCTCAGTGATTTTTTCAGCCTGTTTACTACTTTTCTTTTGAAATGTTAGATAGCTTTATAATAATGAGTAAAAACAGGAACTAAAATTTAGGGTTTGCCTGCTTTGGGTTTAACCTCTGTGCTCTTAGTGTGCCTGCATAATTCCTGCTAAATTGCTGAGGAGTGGATGCTCTTCAGCAGCAGTCAAATGATAAGCACTGGGGCTCCCTTACAGCAGTTTTTTGGGGTTGGGAGCAGAAATCTGCACAAATTGTCAAAATTGAAACTATATTGGGAGGGTAAGAGGAACATCTACAACACCCTTCTCCTGTCCATGCCATCCTCAGACACCTCCAGTAGAGTCCTTTATCACTCTGTGCACGCACACATAACCCTGAGGCAAGCCCCAGTGCCCACGAGAGCCTTTTTCCTTGGAGATGCATCTCCCTTTTTTCTGGCCTTTATGTAAGAAAAGTGCACTGGTTTAACTAAAAGTGTAGTTGTAAACTGATGGGGTTAAACCAGTGCAAAGAGCTCTGTGGACCCTCTTCCTTTGGTTTTAAGCCATGCATATTTCAGTTTAGCTTGTCAATTAGAAATCAACTCAAGCTAAACTGAAATAAACCTGGTTTAAACTAAAATAAGAGTCCACACAACATGCATGGATTTAACCAAATCCATTTAAAATTGCACTTTAAGATGAAGTCAGTGCAACTTCCTCATGTAGATGTTAACAATGACAGATGGCACAATACTGCCATCCTCGTAGTCACTTAAGCCCATTACTTGGGTATCATCTTTGAATCCACCCTTTCTCTAACTCCAAACATTCAGGCTGAAGCCAAAGCTTGCTTCTTCCTTCTATGTAAGGTCCAGTTCTCCGTGTGCACCACGTAAACTCTCATCCTGTCTTGTCCTCTCTGACCACCTCCTTTCTGGCCTCCTGATATTCCCCTCTCCTTTAGAATCTTTGGCTGGTCTGACCATATTGTGCTCTCTTACACACAATTCCTGACAGCCCAGATCCTCCTACTGGCTCACTTCTCTCATGCATTAAATTCAAGCTTCCCCTCCCTTTAAGGACCAGCACAACTCAGCACCTACTGTCTATCTTAGGTACTTGTATACTACAGTAATGGGGGGGCCTCACAATCATTAATGTACTTACCCTCTCAACACCCTTGTGAGGTAGAAAAGTACTATTATCCTCATTTTACAAAGGGGGAACTGAGACACAGACCAAGTGACTGGTCCAAGGTCCCACAAAACATAGGTGGCAGAGCAGGGAACCCAGCTCTCCAGAGTCATAACCATTGGTCCATCTTTCCTCTTTCTCTTTATATTTATTCTTGTATCTTATTGTAACCTAACTCTATATCCTGTTTGTCCATATCTCTCCCAAACAAGCACCTTTTCATTTTCTTCCACACTGCCTTCACTGGACTAATCCATAAAACCATTACCTTCCCCTCCTTCAAGTCTGTCTCCAAGACCCACTTCTACATTGTAGGCAGTTGCCAACTGTTAAAGGCTAGGTAGTTGGCCAGTGGGGATTACAAATCTCTCCTTTTTGTTTTAAAACAAATATAAATTAAATATATAACTAATTACCTTGTAGCCACATAACTGTGCATATAACAAGACTATGCAATATTTGTATCTGTTATTCTTTCCCTGTTTCTTCCAATTGTTTGGTACACCCACTTGTTGCATCTTGTTTTAAATTAATTATAAACTCTGCAGGGTAGGGATTAATGTAATTGGTCCCTAACCTGACTGGGGCCTTTGAATACTGCTATAATAAAAACTAATAATGCCATCTTTACCCTTTCCCTCATTTTAAAAAGTACTAGACACTCACTAAAGTGTAACTGTCCCTAATCCTCACACTTCGAAAACACAACACATTTACCACAGTTTCAAATCACTATGTAAATTAAACTTATGTATTTAAACTATTTAGTTGTATATGATATTTTTTCTTTTTTCTAGTTAAAGTAAACAAGTATGGAGATGCTTGGGAAGAGTGAGAACTGAATCTTTGCATGTACTGAAGGAAGTTATCTTCAATCAGCTAACTTCAGCTCCATCTGTGTTGGTCATGAATATCTACACACTTTGGTGTATTCTGCCAAACTGAAATATGTTCTAATAAAGGAGACTAGATTTTATTTTTGACTTTCCAGAAGAGTGAAAAATTATGGATTTTAGGCTTAACATTGTGTAGCTTTGCACCATTGGGGAACTAGACTATTTATGAGAACAGTGATTTTAAACAGTTTGATACTGTTTAGAAATAATGAAAAAGGGATAGCTTGCACTAATTTTATAAATTTGTAGTGAGAGATAAGGCACTAGCATATGTAAACAGACTAAGTCAGATGTACTGGTGTTGAGAGGGGAAAAAAACAATCTTTTCAGATTATTCAAGACTCCCATTAAAAGTCACTCAGTAAAGCCTACCCTCATTTTTTTTGTTTGTTCTGAAAGTAATGTGACATAAAATCCCAGTGGTATTTACACCCATCTAATTAGTAAGGTATTAAAATAGATTTTCATTTCTCCCATATTTTTGGGACTTCAAAGTCAGATCTTATTAACCCGCAATAAATCTTTACAACTAAACAGTAAAAAAAAGGCAGTGATGAGGAACTTTTAGGTACCAGAATAAATGTATACCTTTCATGCTCTTCAAAAACGTTTCAGAATAACATGCACATTTTTAGTGAGTTATTCTGACTCATCCACTACTGAGTAATTGTTCTGACAAGATCCAAGTTACCAGAAGCACAGAAAATGATTAAATGAAAGAAAAAGGAAACATTAAAAAACATCTGTGTTTAGGCATAGTGGGGTAAGTGTATTAGTCACTTTAATTTTGGTGACTTGGGTTCAAATTCTGGCCTGGATTGAAAAATAATTTTGTGGTCTTATTCTTATTCCCATGTCACGAAACCACCGCCGTTTGTCAACACTTTCTGTCTCTTGAGAAGAGATCCCCTTGAATAGAATATAGCATTAGTATTTCTATTCAGGACTGAAATACATTGGCAGAGCTGTTCTGACACATTTTCCTAGTATCTGCTTTACCTCCCACATATCTGGATCAAAACAGTGCCACCATTCTTTCTTTCATGAGCACTAGAATCTCATCTTCAAGCTGTGACCTTCAGCTGCTCTACTTGTATTCTTAGCCTGTCAGCACTGTCCCTGTCTGGTTTGGGTCTTTTGGTTAAAGGTCTGCTGAAACTGATCAATATCAACCCTAACTTCATGAGAGAGGAGAGAGAATTCTATTACCATCCAAGAAAAATGCTCTTGAGGACCTCATTGATTCAATGGACCAACAACAGAGCAACATGGACAGAAAGATTCACCAGGGTGGTGCAGAGTAAGCTGAAATGACGATGAAAAATGAATGTAGAGAGGATGAGTTCTTAAAGAACCAAACCATGTTTAAGAACATCTGAATAACAGGTCTGTTTGCAGAGAAAGGAAACTACTTCGGAACCGTAAGTGGATGACTAGCATCAGGTTATCTTGAAGCTAACTGTATAAAAAAAAAAAAAGACCCCAATTTACATTGAGAGGCGGCTTTCAGGTCTGAAATGAGAGGTCCATGAAAGTACTAGAAGTCAGCAGGATTTGTACTGTTGTTGAATGATGGGGACATTTTAGAATACTGAAAGTGGTCAGATTTATCATGGGAGAAATGCATACAAAATTGTCTTGATTTCTCCTTGTTATACCCACCATACAAAAAAGGAGAGAAAAAGGCCTTGTCTACACTACTGCGTGGGGTTGATCTAAGATACGCAACTTCAGTGACGTACTTAGATCTACTTACCATGGTGACTTCACTGCGGTAACTCAACAGCTGATGCTCTCCCATCGACTCTGCACTCCTTGTTCTGGTGGAGTACCAGAGTCAACAGGAGAGCACTCAGCGGTTTGATTTATTGCAGCTTAAAAATTGGAAAGATTAATATAGATGCAAGGCCAAATTATTAAAAAATAAAGGTAGTGGCCTGAAACTGGGGGCTGTTGACATGTATTGTGAGTATTTGGCCCAGCTCCTTCACATTTGTTTACAGCCTCATTAAAAGTCAGTTGCTTCTCTATTGCAGATATGTGGAGAATTGAGTTTACAATGCTGTCTTCCAAAATCAACAGCAAGATTCATAATCCAAAGTAAGGAAACAGTCTAATTCTTCAGCAACTGCTTTCAGCAAATGTTCATTCATATTACATAGATCTGTTTGGAACCCAGTTAAACAACAGATAATCCCAAAAGAAAATAACTCCTGGTGCTCATTCAAAGAAAGCCCAGGCAGAGGCTGAATTGTTGGGGAATGGAGTTGTGGGTACTATTCCAAGTTGCACCCATAAATCACACTGCCTACTTGAGATGCAAAAATAAGATGTCACAGTATATTGTGCAGTGTTCAAAGTATGATCCTGTGTGATCAAAGTGTGATCGTTGTCTTTGCTTTCCCTCAGTGGGGCTCAGATACCCTTCTGGATGCTGGATTTCTCAGGGTTGGTACTCTCTTCATAGAGTTCACCTGCCTGCTGGGCTTTGCAAGCTTGGCTTACCCTCTGTGAGGCTCAGATAGCCCCATGGTTTGTTTGGCTCTAGGAATCCAATGTGGGGACTGCTAGTGTACTCAAGCTTTTCTTAATACCCAGGCTTCACCCACTTTTGGCACCAAGGTAAGATTTCATGCTCAACAGATTAGACAGATTTTCATATTATGAGTGTCCATTTCCTGTATTGTGCGCTTTGGTCAGCCATGAATGAAATAGTTAATGTGGACATTTAAATTATTGGATATGAATACTCATAAATCTTCTCAGTTTATCCCATTACTTACAAATATCTATCTTGTTTTCGATGCCCACTACGTGCTTTTCCTATTTCTGTAAATTTGTTCAAACACATTTGCGAAATGGAACAAAATTTCTAAATTTGTGTTTTAAATTTGCACCATTTTTACATGCACCATACCCTGGAAAGTATGTTAAAATCCACAAACAAATAATTACCTCCTGTTGAATGACAGTTTTCTAAAACATAAAAACAACAAAGCCCTTGCTTGGATGATTTCCCTAATCCTGCACTGCAGTAAATGAAAGATATTTTAAAATATATTCCCTGCATTGTACAGTATACATATCCTCCTCACTCATACTTTTTTCAGTAGATCAGTGTACTTGCAGTGCATTTTCTAAAAAAAACCTGTAGATGGAGCTAAAAAATCAGCTCTGCAAAAATATAATGCAATAATGACCCAAACTTGGAAATACAGTGCGTTGTATTGTTTAATTATTTTCTGCGTTTGAAACAGAATGCACACACTAATTTCAATCTCATTAGATTACAGGTCTTTTTATTTTAAAAAAAATGTAATTCACACTAAAACACACACCAGTGGTGAACTTGGTGTCCCTGCTGTTCGTATTAGATTGACATCAATGCACTCCAGGTATTAATACTTCATTGACAGCAAGAGACATTCCTTTATGCATGTTCTAACTAGGCTGGGAGAAGTACAAGACAATCCTTTTGGTACAATACAGTTCGTTTTTTGCTTCAGTGTATATAGCAATGGTTCTGCTCTTGTGTACCACAGAGGGTATTTAGGGCTTGCCCTACACTTTATGGAGCCTTCCTTAGGTTCATTCCTCTTCATAGGTCCCTTGGACCTCTGCATACCCGACATTCCACTGGCTGCCAACTGAGTTTGGAGACTGTTGTCTAGACAAAGCCATTGCCATACTAGGAGTGCAGCAAGTGAAGCAGAAGGAACTCCTCAAAGGATGCCTTAGGCAGCAATCATGCTAAGCAAGCCTAGGCTACAGATAGGGAAGCAATAGATGCTAAGCAAGAAAAAAAATAGACTGCTGAGAGAGCAAGCTGTCAATTGACAGGTGTCTTTCTAGACGTGGCAACTGTTTAGCAGGGGTTGTGTGAAGTCCCTTGCTGGACAGGGCCATGTGCAGCTTCGTGCATAGTACAGGCATAAGGCAGTTACAGAAGATATTACAATTGACTTGATTTTAGAGAATTAATAAATGACATGGGAGTGGTTAAGCCACAAGCATTTGCCTCAGGATAAGGTTTATGATCCACATGCATGTATGATGATTCAGCATTTAACATTAGACAAGTTAGGGATTGTATCAGTTTAGTCATAGACTATGCTGAGACCTAACATCCAGCTTTACTTCATCCAGTAAATGAAGTAGTATTACTGAAATTTGCATATAGAAAAACCATTTGTTACTTACTAGGAGATACGTGAAGTTGCCCATGTGCTAACCTGCATAGCTGCCTACTGATACCTCAGTGGACACATCTGATGAATAGTAACATGAAACACTCTACAGGCCTGGATTGTCCTGTGGGATCTGTACACAGAGAGGGTCCTCTGAGTGAGAGTGATCATGGAGGAGGGGGTATCAGGCAGAAGCACAACACTTTTGAACTTAAATTCTAAAAGAACAAAGTATTAAAGCATTTTTATTAATATGCAAACAGTAATTAACTTGGCTTTTCTGTAATTCATTATTTTTTATCTTTTCTAATGTCACGGTCAGATTAGAGCAAACCTAAAAAACATAGGTTTCTGAGCTCACTGTCAGTTCTTTCCCCAGTGTTCATGTTTTGAGAAAAAAACTTCTTTTTATTAAGTTGTCTATTTAGGAATAATGTTCAGAACTCCTTCCAAAGAGATTTGAATAGATGGGCATAAATAAAATGTCACTCTCCTCTCTTAAGTCCAGATTCAAAGCCCACTGAAGTCAATGGGATTCTTTCTAATAGTACCCAGAGGATACCTATTGTCAAGAACAGTGATACATGGAGTCCTTGCCCAGTACAAGGAGTTATGCAAAACTGATCACAGTATTGGGGGCTTGGTGGGTTGCTTAGCAGTGCAACATCGTTTAAATACTCTTGAATTCTTTTTCTTTCATGCAGGAGACAAATGCTTCCAATTATGGCCTTTTGCAGGTTGCACTGAGATCAGGTCATTGCCACTTACAAGAGTTGCAATATCTAAGTTTTCAGTGCCAAGAGCTAAAATGCATCTAAGGAAAAAGAAACATACTGGGGTGTGATATCAACAGAAAAAAAAACTGCAGTTCTAGGAATTAGCATTTATTATATAGGCAAACTTTTTAAAAATCAACCCAATCCTCACAGTGTACTGATTTACACGGGACTGTAGGCTCAATTTCTTCTGTCCAGAATAAGCTATTGAAGGAAGAGACTTTTTCTGCAGGATTTTGTCAGTTCTACAATTCAGATACCAAGATATGAAGTAACTTCTTAAAAAGAAGAGGCATGATCTGAAACAAACAAAAATCACATTTTATAAATACTGAGCTCTGAGAGCCAAGTTCTACTCAGATGTACATGTGCATCTGGTGACTTCAGAGGGAGTTCTGCACAAATCTCTGAGGTAAGAATTTGGTCCTGAATGTGTGTGCAGCACAATAATTTTAATTAGATGTAATCTGAGAAGAAAGTTTGAGCGTGATGCACATTTTTAGCATGAGAAATGATGGAAAAGCAATATCCACCATGTGTCACACTTTTAGCTCATTGATTGTACATATTTTAAAAAGGAAAAAAGTGATCAAACAATACTATTTTGTGTATTCTAATTGAAATATTCAGTCAGTCTCTAATTTCAGTTTTTTAATGTTGAATTGTATTAAAAAAACCTGCTTAACATTTTTCCTAAATTTCAAAATTCTTCCATCAGAACTGACTCTGGGTACATGTAAAATGTAGTTTTCAAAGCTAGCCAGTACTTGTATATTAAATAACACTGCTCACAATAATCCCTTTGTCAAAAGCTTGAGAAAGGAGATGGTCTTTGCATTTGGATCCAGGGGTTAACATACTCAGTCTTTGTCAGACCAGTAGAGTAAGCAAACTAAAATATGCACCAACTCCTGCTCTCAACTAGACTCAAACAACTTGTCAGTGAACAAATGGCAATCTTTAATTAAACATACTATGGCATCTTTAAGTCAATGGAAATAATCATATGTGAGTGAGGCAAGCAAGATTTGGGGAAAAATTCTCAAAACACTTAATGACTTAGGCACCTAAGTCCCATTGGTTTTCAAGTTGGTTTGGTGCTTTTGAGAATCTTACTGCGTCCCAATATTACTGCAGATATTGAGTGCAATAATCATGTAGGCTAGGCTCAAATGAGGCCTCACTGTTTACTTACTCCACTGGTTAACTCCTGTAGCCGCTAAAAAAGGCCACAGGTGTAACAAAATTCCTCTAGACTATTAAAGACCAGTGGCGGGACACTAATCTAATAATGCCACACTTCAGCCTAATGGTTTCTTCAATGATAATACAACGTTACATCAACATGTTTCATTGTGAATACCATGCACTGACAAAATCCATCAAAATCACACAGTTTTGGGTCAATGAACAGGATCTGCTAAAATATCCCTCTCCTTGTCATTCTCAGAGATTTTAAAGCGAGAGGGAACCCTTTATGATCATCGAGCCTGACTTCCTGTATAACACAGGCCAAAGAGCCTCACCCAGTAATTTCTGCATCAAACCCATACTTTCTGTTTGAGCTAGCATGTAGTATTACATGCAGATAATAAGGACATTATTTACTGGTCACATTCTTAAAACATCAATATTTCAGCTGTATTTTTGACATACCAAAAATGACCAGTCCATAAATGTTCAAGTTAAAAAAAAATATTGGGAACAGAAAACGGCATTCAAACTAGTAGAGAAATATTTATTTCTTTTCTTCTAACTTACAACTAGCCAGAGAATCCCGCTGGATTAAAAAAAAAGTAGTGCTGTTTGCATGAGAATTTTGGAGCTAAATTAGGAGTTCCTCGGAAGTGGGAATTTTAAAATTGTGAAATGTATGTAAAGAGAAAATGAAGAATCAAGGTTAACTTCAGAATCAAACAGAATTCCTGATTCTCAGGCTTTCATCTCATGAAGTTTGTTTATACTGTATTGGGGCAAGTGTTTTAAACTAGAATACTGTTCAAAATAAAGAATAAAATCAAAAGCTTCCTTAAGCTTCTAATGTGTGTACCTGGGATTATGAAGCTGAAGGCTTTGAGTTTTCCTTTCCATTAGATCCAAAATTTGCTTCGCATTCCTTGCAGGTATGATGACAGTGCCTAAAATCAGGAGGAAAATAGAGCATTCAAAATTTTTGCTCATATTTCTCTAACACAGCTGTCATCTTTGACGCATATTTGTATGTGTTCTTTTAGAAGGAATTTGTTGAACAGGCTTTATAGAAGGAATCTCTCTTGTTTTCCATTCATCCGGTTTATGTTCTTATCATAGAATATCAGGGTTGGAAGGGACCTCATGAGGTCATCTAGTCCAGCCCCCTGCTCAAAGCAGGACCAATCCCCAATTTTTGCCTAAATAGCCCCCTCAAGGATTGAGCTCACAACCCTGGGTTTAGCAGGCCAATTCTCAAACCACTGAGCTATCCCTCCCCCCAGTTCTTCCAGATGTCTTACGGTATGGGATGATGTCTGAATGCCCCAGCAAAACAACCTTATTATTATTATGTATTATTTTCAGTAGTGCCCAAAAATATAGTAGAGCTTTCCAAGCAGGAAAAGGAAGCATGATCCCTGACAAAAGGAACTCACAATCTAGACAAGACCACTGGGTAAAGGCAAGGGTTACCAAGATATAGATGGCCAATTGGCCACATCTTTGTAATATAGTGTTGTGTTAATACAACAGGGTTTGGGAGGGTGGAGGTGGGGGGGTTAAGTGGGGGAGGGAAGATTTTATTTAAAAAAAAATTTTGGTTTAGGATATTTAAATTATTTCAAAATACCCTTCCAATTTCCCATTATCAGTCAGCTAATTTACATAGGCATCACAGCACAAGTGGGCCTTCAGAAGGGATTTTAAAACAGAGAGGTGGCCTTGTGGATGAGCTTTTGGAAATGCATTTCCTATGCGGGGAGCAGTGTAGTAGACGTGGACAAACTGAGGGAGATTATCATAGGCTCAGGGAAGGAGGTGGGAGTTAATGCAAAATGAGATATGGGTGGGAGCAGCATTTGTATAGGGCTTTGAAGGCAGTGACAAAAAACTTGAACTTGATGTGTTGGACAGGGAGCAAGTAGAGAGATTCAAAAGGGGATGACATGGTCTGAGGTAAGGAAAATGATCTTAGCAGCTGCATTTTGTATGGACTGGAGATAGGATTGGCCAGAGAAAAGGAGGCTGCATTAATTATGGCAGAGAATGATTAACTGAGGGATATGAAGATGTGGTGGAGGAAAAAGATGTAGGATTTGGATACATACATCTTGGACATATGGAGCAAAGGAGAATTCAAAGGTGAACCTCAAGTTACAGGCCAGATAGATGGTGTGATATTTAATGGCACCAGACAGAAGGTAAATTGCTAACTGTTGATCTTTTATAATTAGTATATGGAGAGGCTGGAGATTTAATCCTTTAAATTATAGGATTATTTATGTCTTCCAAACAATGCAGATTATATTGTATTTAATTTGTATCTTTCTAATAATTACCACATAATCTGGAACTGCATAACTGCAATATATATCCTTAGGTATAGCATTCAAGAGTGCCCTGTGAACTAAAGCAAAAGGTTTAAATGTACTCTGTAGTTGCCTCTCTCCTTCATTCTATTGTCAATAACTATGTTTTGATCTAAGATTGAGCGATCTATATTCAAGACAAACCTTTTATGTTCTGGACCAAATGGCTGAACTCCTATACTTTGGAACTTTCTTTGGCATGCTCGTATGTATGACATTGTCCCAATGGCAAGACCAAAGGCACCAGCAACTGTACAAACAGATCACAAAATATTGTTAGTATCTTGAGTTAGACTCTTGAACTATCATTTGTCCTTTTTACAGTAAATTGCACTTATGTGGGACTTTTTAATCAAAGTGCTTTATAAACACAAAGATTATACTGTAATAGTGTAAGTTCTCTTGTCACTGAAATGCAACCATCTGTGGAGTGAAACACTGCAGCTGGTTAATACACAGCAACACTGCACAACAGTTTAGATGTGAAAAAGAATATTGTGTACACTTGGAATTTCAGGGGGAATTTAGATGTGTAACAATAGTGCAAGGTGAAATCTGACAAAGACATAAGAGCTGACTCCCCCTGCCTTTGCAAAATGGCCCATGGTATTTTTGATGACTACCACTAGCTAGGACCTCAGTTTAAGTCTTGTCTTCCTACGTCACAGCCTTCCTTAATACCACTAGGCTCTGGTTCAGTACTCATTCAAAAAGAAAAGCTACTTCTGGCAACACGTTGAATTTTCTGTGGAGGTCTCAAATCCAAGTCTACACCAAATGCAACCTGCTTGGCTTTTGAAAACAAACGAGCTTATGTCATTTAAATGGCATCGTTGCATTATGTAAATGCAATACAAAACAATTTCTGTGCAAACAATTTTTTTAACAAAATGTTCCAAAGTTAGACACGTAGGATAAACTGAATTTGTATTATATATCTTTATTTGAGTAGTTATTTTCCTGTAATACTTAAAGAACTTAACCATGTTGAGAACTCATTCTGGTAGTCATATGGTATTGCCAGGGCCTTACTGCTGTACGTTATGTAATAAACGACAGTACCTGCCCCACAAAAGCTTATACTCTAAAAGACTAGACATAACAGGCAGATAAAATAAGCAAGGTTGTAAGAGAAGGGAGAGAACATGAGAACAAAACTGTAGGATAGTGTATCACAGATTAGCTATGTGCACAATCAGCAGCCCAAATTCATCATTGGCTTATCTATGATCAGATGGCAGAATTCTGTGTGCATTATGTCAGGGTAGGGATAGGATACAGAGGGACCTAGACAAATTGGAAGATTGGGCCAAAAGAAATCTGATGAGGTTCAACAAGGATAAGTGCAGGGTCCTGCACTTAGGACAGAAGAATCCAATGCACCGCAACAGACTAAGGACCGAATGGCTAGGCAGCAGTTCTGCGGAAAAGGACCTAGGGGTGGCAGTGGACGAGAAGTTGGATATGAGTCAACAGTGTGCCCTTGTTGCCAAGAAGGCCAATGGTATTTTGGGATGTATAAGTAGGGGCATAGCCAGCAGATCGAGGGACGTGATCGTTCCCCTCTATTCGACATTGGTGAGGCCTCATCTGGAGTACTGTGTCCAGTTTTGGGCCCCACACTACAAGAAGGATGTGGAAAAATTGGAGAGAGTCCAGCGAAGGGCAACAAAAATGATTAGGGGTCTGGAACACATGACTTATGAGGAGAGGCTGAGGGAACTGGGATTGTTTAGTCTGCAGAAGAGAAGAATGAGGGGGGATTTGATAGCTGCTTTCAACTACCTGAGAGGTGGTTCCAAAGAGGATGGTTCTAGACTATTCTCAGTGGTAGAAGATGACAGGACAAGGAGTAATGGTCTCAAGTTGCAGTGGGGGAGGTTTAGGTTGGATATTAGGAAAAACTTTTTCACTAGGAGGGTGGTGGTAGAATCTCCTTCCTTAGAAGTTTTTAAGGTCAGGCTTGACAAAGCCCTGGCTGGGATGATTTAATTGGGGATTGGTCCTGCTTTGAGCAGGGGGTTGGACTAGATGACCTCCTGAGGTCCCTTCCAACCCTGATATTCTATGATTCAAGGTGAGAGTTAATGAGGCAAAGGTGGGGAGGTACAGATTTTGATTGGAAGTTTTCCCCACAAGAAAGAGGTAGTATGGGAGAGGTGCTTGTGGAAGAAGCAGACAAACAGACCATTGAGAATAGTGTTATTGACAGAACCATGGTGAGGGCTGACCTTGCAATAATATAATAGTGCAGATAGGGCAATTAAAAATTGAATATACACTCTTACTGAAAAAGTCTTAATTAAAAAAGCTTTACTTAATAAATTAGTTTGTAAACTTAGTAGAATCCTATTTACCTAAACTGCTATGCTGACACCTTATAGATTCAGATAAACAGAAGTTTGGATAATTGACGTTCACTAGAACAGGGAGACACACAGTTAGCACACAAAGGAAGTCTGGATAGTGGAGGTTTGGAAAGTGCAGATTCTACTGTTAATAAAGATCCCCCAAGCTTTTCTTTCCTTTTAAAATAAAAGTACTGACTTACATGCAATTTTAGGTAATGATCCAAATCTTGGGTTTGATGAGAGAAAGCCTAAAATAAAACACAATAGTTAAGAATGTCTATCCACTTGAGAAACTCATCAACATCTAACAACAAAAGGGGTCTTTTTCTAATAAGCCTTTCTCATTTCTCAGAGCAAGGCCTATACCTGCAAGTATGGTAGCTTTGATTTAGGAAAATACACAATTTCCAAAGCATTCTGGTAATTCCCAATGCATTTATTTGTGCAGCGGCACACAAGCTTCGGGGGAAAATACTTTGTGCTGTCATGTGGGGGATTGAAGTCCAGGTCTCTCATTCAATTTCTTGCTCTTTGGGTCAGCATAAACTGGGAGATAGCTCCTAGGACCTTTTTTGCCAATAATCAGCCCAGTGTTAACTGTCACCAGATAGAGTCATGTTTATCCTCTTTAATAGGAATGGAGGAGTCACTCTGACATTTGGGCTTTTGAGGAGAGAAGATGTAGTTCATGAACAGAGGAGAAAATGGAAAGATTCTCATCCTTCTCCACCAAAATTCCCCCTCCCCTCAAATTGACTAATATGACAATAGTGGCTTGTTTCTAATCTCAATTTTGTAGCATCATGTATTGGTATCTGTGGATGCTCAGCTGATGCCATGAGACAGCAAATCAAAATGCAGCATAAGGATTTTTCCATATAATCCTCCAAATGCCTGTGGATCCCTCCAATTTTCCTGTTTACATCCCCTTCACCCATGAGCTCACAAGTTGCAACCACCATTCTGGACATTGTATAGAACCTGTTCAAAATACCCAGGCACGATGACTGATCACAACTGTGTGATGTGACTGCCATATCTAATCTCAGCCAATCAAAGGAGCAGGAGTCAGAATGAGCCAGTCCATTGAATTTTGTACCAGCACTTGTCTGGTGACTTATCCATTTCTGCAGAATTTAAAGAGAGTGTGACAGTAGCTCTAAGAGCTATATAATGACCCCGTTCAATGAGACGGAAGACCCTAAACAGTGGAACCACTGTATTTCTGGGGTGGGATGTCAGTGGGAGGCAGGGTATGGAAGGGAAGTAGGGGTGACAGTGCTAGGCTACGCAGGCGAATTCCACACAGAAGAGTTTGGTGGCAGAGGGAGCATAGAGTGGCGGCCAGTAGATCTACCACTGTAGAGTCACATAATATAGGAGATGCACAGAAGTCCCAGCTTCTTCTAAAGCCAATGAGCTGTAGTATACACAGTGGAGTGGTTATGCAACCACTCTATTCCAAGTGTTAGATTGTGGGGAGGAGGATTTCTTTTCCCCTAGCCCCTATTAGGTCCTCCGTGCAAAGCCCATTTATTTTCACTTTGTCCAGGTGTTCAGCAGTTGTTTCAAAAGAGGTACAAGATGCCCCATTCATCTCAAATAAGTCAAGGCACAATAATGGCCATTTAAAATTGGCATTCTTAATTACTTCACCGCTGATCATTTTAGCATAAATATCCAGCTACTGCAGAAATGTGGGGAGAGTTATCTGCCAAGGGGTGAGAAACCGAGAAAGTAGTCTGCATCTCCTCCATAGGCATGCAGAGTGCAACCAGGCTGATTCACTACAGAAATGTAACGTGATACTCCTCTGTGCAGATTACACAGCAGCTGTCTAAGATCTCCCTGTCCTCCCATTTAGCCAGTACTCTTTGCATTGAGCCACTATGTATGTTGGCATACAGTCATAGAAACACTGCTTTCTAGAAGCCAGAATTTAGAGCTACAATGCCAGATTCTGATACCCTGACTTACATGGACTTGTATCCTATTCCACAAGTAGTCCCAATGAAGTCAGTGATGATTCTTGATTACAGAATGTAATCGTGACATATTCAGGCCGCTAGTATTTGCAAAGGTCTGAATTCAAAAGGAAATACAGTAAAAGCTTTGTTATCCAGCATGTTGGGGGAATGGTGGGTGCCGGTTAATCAAATATTCCAGTTAACTGAGAGTTATACTTTACCAATGGAATATCAATTTGCAAAGAAATTAGAATACAATAAAATGAATAAAATATAAAATACAGTAGTACAGTATACAGGTATTCACCAATGTACTGCACTGCAGAGTGGCTGGTTTCTTGAAGCACTTAGGTGTATACAGGTAACCTACTGTATAGAAAACTTTATCTTTTGACACTACGTATCACTATGGGCAGCACATGGCATACACCCAGATCACTAAAAATACACTTAAACTGTACTGAACATAGGTTGATCTTTCTTTGATGATTCAGAAGACACTTCAGGCTCTTGCAGTGCCTCACGGTCATCATTATCAACATCAATTATCATTGTAGATGTAGAAGGTGTAGTAGATTGGGCTGAATCTGTAATGACCCTATGACACACCCTGGAAGCTGCTTTTTTGAATAAATTCATATCATCAGCTTGCTTACTTGTCTTCTGCCTCTTTTGCATAAAAGTAGAGGGCAGAATGTGCAATTGCATAACCTCCTAGGCAGTATACCAGTCCTGGTTACTAGACTGAAGATTTGTATTGGGAGATATCAGAAATGCTGGATAATAAAGCTTTCTGGTTGATAAAGTGCCAGATAACACAGCTTTTACTGTATTCAGAATGAGTTGTGGCAATGCATAGTTAATTATCAAATCATTATAACAGTGATGGCACTGAGTGGGAAGAACATTCAAATATGAAAAGCAGCAAGCTCTGGAGGAATTCTCATTTAGTGCTGATTCCAGATCAGCATGACTTAGGTTCATTTTTAATATAAATAAAATGATACATGTATATCTTCCATTTACCATTGTAAATTAGTCCCTGAGTGATGAGCATGCTTCCTAGAGACAATGGAAGACCTGAAAAAAACAAGCAAACAAAAAAATTCAGCACTTTGCTCACTACTGTTGACTGGCTGAGAATTATGTGCATCTTTTTTGTATTTGTTATCCTGTCTTCTCCATCCCAGCTTGCTTGTCTCATTCACCTATTATGCCTGCTCTTAGACGGAAAGCTCTTTGGGGCAATGACTGTCATTCATTATGTTTGTACAGCACCTATCACAGTGGAGCCCAACCTGGTTGTGACTTTTTTGTGCTACTGCAGTATAAATAACAACAAAAACTTGCATGACCATAGTAGTATATCCCCTCAAGACAGCAAAACTAAAATGTATCTGTCCTTGATAGCAGTTTGATTAAATGATGAAACCCTTAGAAGCTTTTCAAATCTTTTCCTTTCAGAATGTCCACATTTAGAGTTGCCATCTGGCCAACTTTACACTCACTCTGCAATGACTTTTGTTTTTGTTGTTGAAACTAAATAGAAATTTTGTTATTTCTTGAAAAAATTCAAAATCAAGATCACATGAAAGAAAATGAAAAGTGTCTCTTGGGTGAGAGTAATAATAGATTTAAAAAATAGTGACATCAACTAATAATAATAGTTAACTATTAACAATTAAGGGAACAATTCTGCCACTTTTACTTACATTAAGTGTACCTTATTATGTAAGTAGTCCCACTGATTTCATAGTAAGTACTACTCAGCATAAGTAAGGATGACAGAATTAGGCCCTAATAACAATCCTCTCTCAAATAAATTTAAATGTTAAAGTAACTGGCAAGACATGCAGTAGAATTTAAAGCAGTACTTCAGCTAAAAATACATCAGGTGCTGATTCTCACTGGGATAAGAATTAACATGAGTTACCTACCTCTGTACCAGAAACTTTCATTTCTACATTCTCGACTGATCCTTTCTACTTCTTTTCTATTGATGTGAGCATCTGAGATAGGACAGTAGAAACCAGACTGAAAAGAGCAATCTTCTGTTAGCTTACTGATTTTTATCGTATAAGATCATTTTTAGATCATTTAAGATTAAAAATAGTTACTAATACATGTAAAGTGAAGAGAAAGGTATTTTCCTTTCATAAGTAATGCAACCCTCCCTCAAGTCTCAAAACAAACACACACACGCACAAACCCCATCTCTAGTTAGTGAAGCAATCAAATATTTGATAATTCAAGAGCAGAAATGTGAAGCACTGTTCAGGTTTTAAAGTGAAAAAATGTCATGCTATTTGGAACATCTTGCCTGCAATAGTTTAGGTATTAATTTTAGACAGGCAGTAAATTGGTGTTTCTTCTCTTAATTCTTTTTTTCTGATCAGCCACATTCCTTTAGCTGATATTCAGGGACTGAACTGATAGGAAAAAAAGGCAATGCTACTCTCAGGTCCTCCGACAAAATAAACCCCAACCACTTGAAATGCCAAATGAGAAATTACTCTTGGTAGGTTGTGCAGATATTCAAATTATAATCTCTCACGCCCTCCAAGGCACTGCAGTCCTAACTCTGACTCGTGCAATTCAAATACACCTATGGGCTCCGTTGGGCTCCTCTGGCTGGGTTTCTCCTCAGAAGGATTCAGGTGTCCTACTGGATTCTGTTGATGCCCACCCAGTAATGGCAGTAAAATGTCACTCACAATAGATTGTGTATGTCCCTCTCTTTTCTTTGTTGAGCAGTGAAATAGTTAATAATATTGATATTTTAGTACCATCTCTGGGCATCTGAGTTAACATCTCTCCAAGGCTGGCTCTAGCTGGGGTCCATGGTTGAACTGCACCCACAGAAATCAGGTCTGGATGTGCATGGCTGGGAGTGCAGTTGGCACTCAGGTCTGCCTGCCAAAAACCACAACAACTTCTCTTGGCAATGGGGACCAGTGGGAAGCCTCAAGCCAGCATGGAGGGGAAAGGATTTAGGTAGGGTGGAGGGGCAAGCTAGTCTGTTCTCCTTGTCCAGCCAGGTAGGGAGCAGCAGTGCAGGGGATGGGGTAGGGCAGCAATAGGGGGGCCTATGGTGTTGCTGGGATAGGGGTGGCGCTCCAGGTTATGATGCAACTCCCTTTTGGGGATCCCGGGGGGAGGGAGAAGGGCTGGATATGGGGCACGGAGAAGACCCTAAAATTCCTTCCCCCAAGGAAGCCTTGAGCCAGCCAAGAGGGGTAAGAAGCAGGGTGGGGGCAGGCAGGGCTCCTCGAAGGGACAGTAGGGGGGTTTCCTTTGAGGGCAGAGGCTACTGGGAGGGGGTGGGTATAGGAGTCATGTGGAGAGGGAAGGTAGGGGCTTCTGCTTTCCTGGATTTCTAACCATTGTAATAATCATCATTAAGGCTAGGAGTCTTTCACAGAGGTCACGGAAGTCATGACTCCGGAACCTCTGTGACTTCTGCAGCTGCAGCGGCGGCTGACCCCAGGGCTGCCCAAGCAGCTGAGGCAGCCCCAGGGCTAGCCACACTGGTCACTCCCTGGGTGCCCCAGACTGCTCCCCGCCCAGAGGAGCAGCAGCAGTGGCAAGGCCATTGACCGCTCCCTGGCCAGAGCAGCGGTGGTGGCAGAGCCCCAGGCCACCCCCTCCCACCCCCCGGAATAGCAGCATCTGCTGGAACGCCCCCTCATCCCCAGCACCTAACATTTAGTTAGGGGTATTTTTAGTACAAGTCATGGACAGGGTCACGGTCCATGACTTTTACTAAAAATATCCATGACTAAATCGTAACCTTACTCATCAATAAGTTTTCTTACACTGAACTAACTCACCACTGTGCTGCTACAGCTGTACACATGCACTGTACAAGAGTTTGGCATAATCAGTCTCCTGTACAGTGCATGTATACAGTTGTAGCAACATGGCAGGGACTTAGTTCTGTTTAAGAAGACAATTATAAATTGTTATTTTATTATGTTTCTATCTGGCTGCCCAGGAAAGGTTTCATAGCTGCTTTAAGTGCCTAGTAATAATGTGAAATACCTGGTGTAAATATCCTGGGGATACTATCAAGGGCCCTCTCTGACCCCCCAACTCCTCCCTCTTTATTCCTCATTACAAAAACAGACCTACAATATGGTATCTAGATGTCATTATAAATATGTGATCTGTAAAAAGTTCCTGAAGTTACTGTGAAGTGATGTATATTAAGTAACAGGAAATGGAAAAACTCTTTGCTCATGAAAGCAAATCCTCTTCATTACTAAATAAAATTGGTACATATACTGGGGAGGGTATGTTGGCTTCATCTGTGCTGGATTAGCAGTCACCAGGTAATAGCATTCATACCTAGACTTCAAAGGAACTGAGTATAAGTGAAGAGGGGATTGGAATAGACTCTGACTGGCAATTATGACCTCAGGCACTGGGATGGTGAGTTAAAGGCAGAGCCCATGATAGCTGGAGGGACAGACACATAGAATGCTAGGAAGGTAGTCTTCAATTTACCAGGACTATAACTCTAAGGTTTAACCTACCAAGATAAGCTGTGGCCTACCCTGTACTCTAGATATGATTTTATTACATTTATCTTTGCTTTTATTCCATTTACCAATAAACTTCAACACTTCCAAACCTGAATGGCGCTGCGACTCCATGTGCCAGGTCACAACGCACGGAGCAGGGAGTCGGAGCCAGCCCCAGCACAACCCCAGTCCCGAGGGACAGGAGCTGCTGCTGTGGGGTGAGTCAAAGCTGGGCTTGGTCTCCAGGCCAACCCCTCTTCCCCTAGGCCTTCCCGCCACACCGAGCTGGGATTAGGATTGTGGTGCTGGAGAGGAGTGTACTGCTGCAGGTGGTCGGTGCCCCCTCAGTGGGGCGAGGAGGAGGCTGAGTGCACCTACTGACTTAGGAGGCTATTTCTGCCACTGCATCTCACTGAGACGAATGGGGCAGTTTAGACTTCATAGTTATTGTTGAAAGCTCTGTGCAGACTCAGGCAGATGTCATTGTTTCAATTACACGCAGTTCACATTTCCAAGGCTTTATTTACAATCACAAAAACTGAAAATGTACTTTTTAAAAAAATGAAAGCTCAGATTTTGTAGCACAAGTGCCACCTCAGTAGAGATGTTGGTATGCCATAGGGTATGTCTGCACTTGGAGCTGGAGATGTGATTTCCAGGTCAAGGACACATACCCAAGCTAGCTCTGCGCTAAAAATACTGTTGCCATGGCAGTATGAGGAATGGGTGGGCTAGCCGCCCTGAGTACGTGCCTACAATATCTTGGGAGGGTACATAATTGGAGTGGCTAGCCAATCCTGCCAGCCCTGTTGCCATGGCTATGCTCTACTTTTAATATGCTAACTCAATCGCCGCTGATGTGGGTATGTTTCCTCAGTGGAAAATTGCACCCCCAGCTCCAGCTGGAGATATACCTATGCTGACATGTACCACCTCAATGTGAGCCCTGTTAGTTTTGTAATCCTGGTGATGAAATAGGTTTATTGGCTGCAGTCATTATTACATTTTCAGGTAGTGAATGCCCCAGTCCTCATTCAAACACAACTCCTACTAAAGTTAGTGGGAGTGTTGCTTGAGGAAGGCCTTCAAATTGATCACAAACCAAGTTTCATAGCACTGTGTGATGGGGTGTGCTCCCCACACTGGCCCTGCAAGAGCTGGGTTGGGCCAGGTGGGCCCAATCAGCTAATTAGGCTCCGAACAGGGGAGAGCTGTAGGCAATTAATTAGAGAGAAGCTCATGTGTGAAGCACAGGTGGGGCTTCTACAAAAGATAGGAAATTGGAAGCAGAAGGGGCTGCAGAAAGGTAGTCTATGGTCACCCTCTGGGAGAAGGGAGGTGTGTTTGGCAGTTATAGAGGGAAGTAGCCCATGGTTGTTCCTGGGAGGAGGGAGTAGAGTGGCTGGCAAACCCCAGAGAGTGGGGGAGTGCTGCGGTAAGAAGCAGCCCAGGGAATAAGCAGCAAGGTTGGGGACTAAGCAGACCTTGGCTGCATGTTGTAGGGTCCGTGGGCTGGAAACTGGAATAGAGGGTGGGCCTGGGTTTTCCCTACCCACCAGTGGGGCAGTGACACTGGTGGAGCAGTGAACCGAAAGACCGTTGGGGTCACTGTGGGAGTGACAGAGAATTTGAAGGACTGCACCCAGGAAGAGGGGAATGCTGAGTGACCTGGCCAGAGGGCTGCTGTGGCTCCTGAGAGCAAGAGAGGCTGCAGGGGAGAAACTAATGGGGTATACCTGCTGGAAGGGGTGTTAACCAGACTAAGCTAATCCCCAGAGCCACCAACAGATGGTGCCATCCAGCAGTGAGTAGAGCTAACCTGTCACATAAGGTCATAGTATAGTATATGAAACTTGTACTGCTCATAAACTATGTCAAATATAATAAAACCTCTACAATAGTACGAACAACAGATAAGAAGTAAATGATTATGAACAGGGTTATTTCATATCAAAATTACTCTTAGTTAAATGTTCACCTATGGCACAAAAGTGGTAGAATTTGGCCTTAACAGGCCTGTTTAGATTTCTTCAGCATAGGGGAGCTTGCAGCGGGTGTAAAGCAGTGTAACCAAATCCTATGCCAACTGGCCCCCCCACTCCACCTGAGTTGGATGTTGAGGATGAGCCAGAGAGCACCTGTGCTCTATTGGCTCTTACAAGAGGTCTGGTCCTTTAGAAGCCATAGCCAGCTAGCATAAACTAGAGCAGATTAGCTGGGACTGGGACCAGGACCAAGATAGCTTGACTAGAATTAGCAGATGGTGGTTACCAGCTTTCTGACTGCCCTCTGCTTTCTGTCTTCTCTGTACTGAGCAGAATTTGGCACAGAGTCTGGGTCATAACACAAAAGAAGACTGGATTTTCCAGAAATTGTGAACATGAACATTCTGAAACCTTGTACAGAGCTTAGAGAAGTATAATACAGTAACTCCTCACTTAACATCATCCTGATTAACGTTGTTCCATTGTTACATCACTGATCTATTAGAGAAGATGCTCGTTTAAAGTTGCACAATGCTCCCTTATAAAGTTGTTTGGCAGCCGCCTGCTTTGTCCACTGCTTGCAGGAAGAGCAGCCCGTTGGAGCTAGGGATGGGGGCCTGGAACCAGGGTGGGCTGGCAGCCCCGCTATCAGCTCCCCGAAGTTCTCTGTGTGGCAGCTGCCGGGCAGTTCAGGTGTCCCTCCCCGCACTGCTGTGTGCTGCTCCTGCCCTCTGCCTTGGAAGTGCTCCCAGGAGCCTCCTGCTTGCTGTGCAGGGGGTGGGGGGAAGAGGGGTGCTGATGTCAGGGTGTCCCCCTGCTCCTGTACCCCCATCTCCACAGAGTGCGGTGGGGAGGGACATGACAGGGTACAGGGGTGAGGGAGCTTGCTGGCAGCAGCAGCTGTTGTCTCAACTTGCTGATCTACTTAAAAAGGCAGTCTACTTAGAGTGGGGTTAGCGTACTTAAAGGAGCAATGTGCATGTCACACAAACACACACCTTGTAAAGTGGGATAACGTGGGTTCATCATCACGGTCAGTTTCCGCAGGGAATGTTTGCAACCACTTTCATGCTGTGTCTCCTCCCTCCATTCGTGCTGCCTTGGAGAGTTTGAGGCTACGTTAACACCAATGTGTTAACCCTTGAGGGCTCAGCCGAGTGCTAGTTCATCATGTACCAGCAAGGCATTCCCTGGGAAATATCCAACCCTCTGATTCCACCATGACTTATACGGGTTGTGTGTGTGAAGGAAAAAAAAAATTTCCCTGGAACCTAACACACCCCCCCCCCCCCCCATTACATTAATTCTTATGGGGAAATTGGATTTGCTTAACATCATTTTGCTTAAAGTAGCATTTTTCAGGAACATAACTACAATGTTAAGCAAGGAGTTACTGTGTGTATATATAGAAAATTGTGCAAGAACTTATGATTCTAAAACCAAATGTGCTCTATTTTTAATATTGTATAGTATACTATAAACTATATTTAAACTACCTACAGTTATATAGCATCAATACACTTTATTATAAACTTAGTTCTTTTAGAAATTTCTAACTCAGGTGTAAAAATTTACTTTGGATTGAAATATGAAAAGCAAAATCTCAGCACAGCAGAGGGGGTAGAAGTCATGAAACATAATGACATGGACTAGATCTGTTATTAACATTACGAGACATTTTAACAGAATGCAGGCTTTATTTTTTCAAATTTTATATATTTAATTCTGTAGAAAAATATCATGCTAAAAATTAAGAGCTATTCCAGGAAGTACAAAGTGAAAGCTGCAATGCTGTAATTAACCTATCTGTGGTCTACAGGACTGGACATTGTCATTTAATATTTTATACCATAAATGCAGCATATTCCAGGTATACAAGGGAAGCATGGGCCAACCTGTAGCTATTTTAGGGTGGAGTTTAAGCCATAAGATTTATTGTTTTTGTCAGTTTGTATTAAACTAAACTTAAACATAAGACCAAAGGCTGCCCTCAATTATACCTGTGCAACCCCACTTACTTTGTAAAATACTGTATTACTGCCTTTTGCATTTTCATTTGGTTATGAAAAAATGCCTCCCAGAATCTTGGTTATATCATGAAGAAAATATCTCAAATGACGCCATCTTTCTTGGGAAAATGTAAAAGCTTTATATATGACAAGTAACTCCTGAAGAGCTGAAACCTTGCCCCAAACAACCAGATACCCCTGAGAAAGCTGCCATGAGTATAGTGGACGCAGACACCTGACCTGGAGACCAGCAATCTCTTAATAATTTGCAAATGAATCAGCAGGAACTCCACAGAGGAATACTGGCAAGCCGCCCCTCCTCCTCGTTTATATGTATAAGTCCCTGTATTCAGGCAGCTGTTCACCTGGATTCCATTTGATAGTAAGAATACAAAAATGCCAGTCATTGGCTAAAGATAGCATTCAACAGAAAGGGGAAGCAACTCCAATTTACCTGTTTGTTTTGTTGCTGTGAAGATGCCTGAACTTTACTTTGGGCTGTTTCTGAAGACATGTCTGTCTGTCCTTCCCCCTCTCCTCCTAACAATCTTGGTAAGCAGCAAAGTCAGCAATGCCGTCTTTTACAGCTGGCTCCTCCTCTCACTGTTTGGTACAAAGGTAAAAAGAGTAAAAGTATTATATTGTTATAGCCAACTGTTTACCCAGAGAAAACACCATTTTGAAAGAAGCATTGTTTTTATTGCAGATACTATTTGAATAACCTGATATTAAATGTAACTAAAAAAGATAAAATGGCTGAACTCTAAGTGAATTATATTAGGCCACACAATGCATTATCCCCTTTCAGTTATCAGAAATATTGGGTTTGTACTGAGTCAAGCAGGCATGTGTACAGGGAAGGATTATGTGCTGGGGCTTGTGGAGTGCAGCACAAAACTCTCAGTGCTGGAGAGGAGTGAGGACAAATGTGGTTTCAAGCCACCTTGCACCTTCCTGATTCCTGACTGCACTGGAAGCCAAAATGGCCCCTGGCATGAATGAGATGGCTCAGAGAGTTGGTCTAATTTATAGCAGCCTGTTCTGAGTGGTGGCCAGAATTCCCACAGTCAGAGGGCTACCCCCTCCTAGCCATACCCGGCCTTTAACCCCTGACGCACATTTCTTATTTTTCCACCACAGGACCTAACCATCAAGCCTAACATGAACTAAGTCTGTATTTCAGACCAAGGTCCATCATGACTAGTTATTTTTCTGATTTTATTTTTAAAAAAATCATATTTCAAAGGTACCCACAAAGGGATTTAGTTACTTAAGCCCCAAATTTAGGTGCCACTGCAATCCACAAAACCCCCACTGGGCTGCTGCATAAACCTGTAGGCTTGTAAACTCTCTGCACCTAAATTTTTTTTGTTATAAAGTGTCCTAAGTTTCTGCCTTTGGTCATGAACACACCACCTCCCTCTCGGCCTCGGGATACCTCTTTCATGCCTAAGCCTCAGTGGGATCTCAGATGTTCCCCTACCCTTTTTGCCTGCAGGGCCTGGTTAAGCGTTGGGGTCCATTCAAAAGTGATGACGGGGTGCTTCCCTTATAACTTTTAGCCCACTGGTTAGAGCATCACCCGGGATGTGGGAGACCCAGGTTCAATTTCCTCCTCTGCCTGATGGGGAGAGAGGATTTGAACAGTTGTTTCCCACCTCTCAGGAGACTGCCATAACAAATGGGCTCTGGGATATTCCTGTATAGGTGCCCCTCAGTCTCTCCTGTTGAAGCTGTTCCACTTTTTGGATAAATAATTAGTCATTGGAGCAGGGGGACTGGACCTTGGGTCTCCCACCTCTCAGATTAGTGCTCTAACCCCCAGGCTCCAGAGCCATTCTCTCTAGCCCAATTTCTATTTATGTATTTATACAAACTGAACAGCTTCAAAAGTCTGTTCTCCTAAGTGGTTGCTGGTACTCAAAGTGTGAACTGTTCCAACTCTTCTCTGTACTGTGCTTTAGTTCTGAGACAGTTACAAAGTTATAACACTCACGAGAAGCCCTGTATTTTTATTTAGCATTGGGAATTCAAATAACCTTTTTTTGTTTGTTTTTTAATGGCAGGGCTGAAGAACTGACCTTTCTCCTTGCTAAAAAGACTTAGGTAAAGCACTGTGTTGATACAAATCTGTAGTAAGGTAAGTCTTCCTGTGCTCAGTTTTACCACATTCAAACTGTATATTGATACTGTTTCTCTGAAAAATGTAATTTTGAAGCTCTGTGGAAGGTGGGGCAAACTGTAAACTCTTCACTGTTTGTCTCACTCTGTCAGTCTCTTGTCACTTAGAAAAGATCTAGGGAAAGGGGAGGGAACTTTAGAGCAGTTTGCCAATCACAGGCACTAAATCTTGGAATTCATATTCTGTTCAATAAACCTAGCTGTGTAGGAACTTGTATTTAAAAGAAGATCATCACAGGAGATTGCTGTAGAATCTGACCTGGCTCCTTTACCACTGCAGCAGAATTTAAGCTCTGCATCACTTTTTCATCATTGTTTTCCAGATTCAGAAAAGTAAATAAGAAGAGAGGCAGGCTTTTTTAGGACTCTGTAATGTGTTCTAGTAACGTGTAGCTTGTAATTAATCTTTTTACACCATAAAATCTTGGAAGTATTTCCTATGTTACTAAGCTAAATTTCAGTTTCAACATAATGAAGAATCCCAGAAATGGATGAAGATGACTGAGGTAGCTGCAGAAGCCAATAAGTTTCTCATGTTGACATGGCTGACAGTCTATTTAATTTTTGGTTTTTTCAAAATATTTCATTTAACTATTTTTTACTTTAACAAAAACAAACCTGATTTTTAAAAACGTGAATGTTTAATTCAAAAATTCATATGCTTGTTTTGTTAAATATTGTATGTTTTGCTGTTGAAGGAAAAAAATGCAGAATACATAATGTTGTTGTTTTAGTTAAATAAAACAATTTAAATGTCTGTCTGGTGGTGGTCTCCTCTTAATACAGCATGGCAAGAAAATCCTCCAAATATTAATGATTAACCTGTTGAATTGGAGATAGATATTTATGAAATTATTGGGAGGTGAACTACTTCAATTACCTTTCGTAAATGAAATAACCAACCAGCCAATCATTCATTTTCTGATATAGCTGAAAAACTAATCTGAAAAGTTTTCAAAATCACTTAAAAATGTGTATAGTGCGTACCTTATAAAAATGAAACCTACATCTATCTCTGAGTTGTGAAGAATATGTATTAAGGTTATAACAATCAACAAGAATGCAGTTTTATGTAGAAATCCATGATTAAATTGAGTCTTCCTGACCAGTGATTTAAATCAAATCCACCCTGAGAAGGCTTGATTCAGTTGTTGATAGTGACCACACCACTCTGTGAGATTACTGTGAGAAACAGATGAGAAAAAACATTTGAGAGAGTGGGGAAAAATTTAATTGCCAGAGACTTTGTCTTATTGTGTGGGTGTTTCGGGAATAAAGTACTAATTAATCATAGTGACATTTAGCCCAGCGCTTATAGTAACACTTCAGATGTTTGACATCCAGTGGGGTACAAGGGGAAATACTTGCCAGGAGATATTATAAGATCCCTCTAAATTAGAATCTTTATTTTAATTATGGGACTCTTATTTTGGTGCAGGGTACATAGTTTAGTTTCAGGCAATGTCACTAGAAGCGTAACAGGATTAAAATGAAGCAGTGACTGGACACTATTGTTAAAGGTGTGGGCTCAGATGTTTGACATCCATTTCCAAAGTTTACAGAGGAATAATCTGGGAGGCACTGTTACTTTATTTTCTTGGTTGTTTTTGAAGGGATTATGAGAATATTTGGGAAAAAAAGTAGATCACTCTCTTTTTCTTAGGAAGGATGGCATGGGGTTTAGGCACAGGCAATCTGGATTCTGTTCCTGGCCTTGCAGCAGACTTCACCTGTGAGCCTAGGTGAGTCACCCAATCTTGTTAAATCTCAATTTCCTCCTAAGTAAAATACCCTCCTTGCAGCTGGGTTGTGAGGCTTAATTAATGCCTAGGAAGTCACATACTTTGAGACTGTTAGATAGAAAAATCTATACAGAGCAAGACCTAAAACTTTTATTACTTGTTGTTGTTGTTTTCACTATACACTAGCATGACTGAGGGCAAAATTTGGCTCATGGGGGGGGGAGGGGATTTCTATTTTTCCCAACAAGCTGAATTTTGCCGTCCACCAGGAAAAGCCCTAGATCTTTTCCTGGTCATGTGGAAGATTTTTAGCACCTCCCAGGAGCAGTGAAGACGGGTGGGGAATGCTAGCCCATCAGCAGAGCAAAAAAGAGACCAACCCCATGAGCAATGCACTGCCCCCTACAAATTGGCACCCAGGGTGACTGCCCTGATTGCCTACCCCTAAAGCTGATCCTGCCCTCAGTTCTAGTGTAACCTCATTAAGACATTTGTGTATTTTTGATTGCAGAACTTTGGTCCAGTGTCTTGTTACTTTCTGGTATGTAATTAACCCTCCATATTTAGTTCCATTTATTTTATGTGCATTTTATAGTATTTCTCTCAATATAAAACCTAGGTGGAGTTTTTAAACATGCCTTCCACAAAGGATATACAAGCTCTCATTAAAACCAGCTGCTACAAAATCTGCAATTTGTGATATACGTGCAAGAACTTGGTCACTAGCAAACAGATCTTGGGGAAAAAATGCTGTCAAATTTGGACCTTACAGGGGGTATTAGAACAAAAAAAAATCCTTTTGTGTTTGCAATGATGAGGAAATTGCCTCAACACAGCATGTACTCCCTGTCCGCTAACGCCCAAACCCACATCAGTGCAGAGGCTTACCGGAGCACTCTTTGCGCAGCTCTTGTGTTTGAAAACCCAGGAGATCAGACTAAAGAAAATCAGCGGAGCGAAGGGCAACTTTGCAGAGACAAAGAGGAGAAAAAAAAAATCTTACGATCTTTCCGGACTCTAGTTGGGAAGTTACTGGTTTTGCATTAGTTCGAAAACTGGGCCCAGTTCGTACTTCCACCGCGCAGACTCCTGCTGGCTGTACCGCGCTCTCTGGCGCGGAGACGCGGCACCCGCAAGCTATATTCAATTCCTGTTTCACTGAGGGGCCCGCCCGGCCAGGAAGAGGCAGAGATCAGCTGCAAGAAGCACCGATTCAGCCTCGCTCCCGGAAGCTGCCTGTGTCTGTGGGGCGCTTAGCGAGCTCCGGGCTGCCAGTGTTTTCTCCCCAGTGAAATGTAACTCCCTGGAAAGGGCAAGGGGCTTGTACTGCTGCTGCCCTTTCCTGGGCTGAAACCTCTGGACGCATCACATACCAGAATTTAGTTTTTGTCCACTGCGGGATATTGTCTCTTCTCTCTCAGACAGTTTACACAGCTATAATTTAGGTGAGTAACTCACACCAGGGCAGGTACTAAATACCCATCCCCATGTACAAAGGAACGTGATTCTTTTGGGGCTGTCGTGTACCTAAAACGGCGTTTACCCTTTGTATTTGTTGTGTAATAAACCCCACCCTTCCTAGGTGCTGGAGCTGGGGGACTGGCCGCGGCCCCTGGCTTGGAGTTGTCTCCATCATATACAGGGGTTTACAGTTTGGTTCAGTGGCTCTCAGCACTCCCACTACACAGATTGTTCCAGCACCCCTTGCCACCCTTGTTTTAGGGTTGCCTATTATATTATAGGCTGCTAAAATCATAGCTGTCTGCTATGGCAAATCTAGAGTTGGATTGCAACTTCCCCAAAGGTTGGGGTGGGAGAGGAATGAGTGGGTGTATGGATTTTTATTTACATGAAAGCACCCCCCACTCAAAGCACCAGCTCACTGTATAATAATTTTCTAGTAAATTATAGACAGTTAAAAAAAAACACACTGCCTTGTCTACAGACAAACAAAAAGCAGACTAGAAGAGGGCTCTGCATAGGGAAAAGGGAAGAGAGAAGGTTCTAAATATGGCAGTCAAAATAGTTATAATAAACAAATTTATGCCATTGACAGAGGATTTTAGCTGCTTAAAAGTGGAGCTAGTGGTGCTGAGATGGGTATCAAGGCAAAGGGGGAGAAAATGGGTGAGATTCTTGTAAGAATCCCCTCTAGCTTTCATAAAATGAATTTATTTGAAATTAGTTAAAACATTGCACCATGGCAGTACAACAAGAGCCTGATCCTGTGTCCACTGAACTCAATGCCAAAGCTCCCATAGACTTCAGTGGTGCAAGATCAGGCCCCATGATAGGCAAATTCCAACTATTTCATTTAGAATCTACCTTGAACAGAAGCTAAATGTAGTGTCAAATAGCTCTAGCAATGTGTGCAATGACCAAGAAATGATTAACAGCTATGTCTGTGGGGCAATTAAACTGAGCATCTGCCTTCTGTCAATATTGAGATAACTCTCACTGTAACTTACATAAAATATATACTTTACAAGTATAAGTTTGGAGCTAGAATTGCAACTTTGGACAAAATTAACTGAGATTTCTTTTTCTTCTGAGACAAGGTTCAGGTCTGTCACTTCAGAAAAATGGGAGTGGGCAGGCAAAGTTGTCAGCATAAAGAACCTTGCTTTTGATTATGATATCCTGCAAAGTCAGGGGGTGGGACAAAACGTGGAAGACCTAATGGAGCATATAGACCTACGAAAAGGGGGCGCAAACTAAGGTTGGGGGGGAGGGAGGGTTGTAACTGCCACCTTTTCCCTGTAGCAAATGATACCTCTGAAAAGATGTGGGAAGACTATCCAGGACCTGTACATTTTTGCTCCTTAAATGCACTGAGTCATGGCAACACTGTGACAGGCTCCCATTTCAAAGTGGTCAGAGCCATAGTCAGGCCGCATTGAAACCAGGGTAGGGGACCAGCTATGGATCAAAACCAAGGTCAGAGTCCACAGACAAGCCAAATTGGGATAGTAGTTAGAGTCTAGAGTGGGCCAAAGGTCAATGCCAGGTGGGAGTCAGTCCGAGGGTCTGGAGGCAGATGCAAGGCTGGAGTGGTTCAGTAACAGGGCTGGAGTATGGTCTGAGTGGGGCTTGGGCAAGACTGAAGATAGCTGCAACAAGCCTGGGGCTGAGCAGGACCAGGAACTGGATCAAGGGCAGGCTGAAAGCCTAGGGAGTCTGTAACACTGTGAAGCAGCAGGAGGGTTCCTAGCCAAGTAGTGCTGTTGTACAGTGTAAGGACTTGTCTATGCTTAAAACACTGCAATGACAAAAATGAAGTGCTTCAGCGAAGATGTTGCCTACACCAATGGGAGGGGTTCTCCCATCAACATGGGTATTCACCTCCCCAAGAGGTGGTAGAGAATTCTCCCGTCGACCTAGCTGTGTCTACATAGGGTGACCAGATGTCCCGATTTTATAGGGACAGTCCTGATACTTGGGGCTTTTTCTTACATAGGCTCCTATTACCACCCCCATCCCAATTTTTCACACTTGCTATCTGGTCAGCCTATATCTACACTAGGGATTAGGTCAATTTAAAAACATCATTTGGTGTGTGGATATTTCCCACACCTGAGCAATATACTTATAATAATCTAATTTCCTAGCATAGACCAGGTCTAACTTACAGGTCTGGCAGACTCAGTAAAATACCTGTGCCTAGGGGTCATCTGACCCAGGTTCTGTCCAGGGATAAGCTGCTGCAGCATATCTGAGCACTCAGGCTCTGCTTATGGGATGAGGGATGAGTTGGTGCAGCATGATTTAGTAATTAATAGGTATCCTGGAAATGCATTTGCCATGTAAAAATATTGAATGTATGTGTGGTGGGTTTTTTTTGTTTTTTGTTGTTTTTTTTTAAATAAAGAATCTGGCAGGGCATGGGTTTTGGGCTGTCAGCACTGGGTGGTGGGGCTCCAGGCTGTCAGATTTCATTTTTATCACAGAAAAATGTGGATTTTTATGTTTGGGGTTTTTTATTGGAAAACTTTGCGGGGGAGGTGGAGGCAGTTATCACAGAAAACTAGGATCCCTGGTGATAAGTCACTGCAGGTTCTGCTGAAGTGGTGAGTCATGGCAGCTGAATGGGCACCCCTGGTCTGGCTTCAGGTTTGCCTTACACACTGTGAAACTTCTGGCTGAAAAAGGGGGGGGGGGGAACAGTTCCCACCTACCTACTCTTTAATAAAAGGACAGACTCATTTATACTAGAGGTGGGTAGGTGAGCCTGAACCTACACTGTCCTCTGGAGCATGTACTAATGTCTGTTGCTAAACTGAGCCAACCCCCAAACCCTTGAATCATAGAATATCAGGGTTGGAAGGGACCTCAGGAGGTCATCTAGTCCAACCCCCTGCTCAAAGCAGGACCAATCCCCAATTAAATCATCCCAGCCAGGGCTTTGTCAAGCCTGACCTTAAAAACTTCTAAGGAAGGAGATTCTACCACCTCCCTAGGTAACGCATTCCAGTGTTTCACCACCCTCCTAGTGAACAAGTTTTTCCTAATATCCAACCTAAACCTCCCCCACTGCAACTTGAGACCATTACTCCTTGTCCTGTCATCTTCTACCACTGAGAATAGTCTAGAACCATCCTCTTTGGAACCACCTCTCAGATAGTTGAAAGCAGCTATCAAATCCCCTCTCATTCTTCTCTTCTGCAGGCTAAACAATCCCAGTTCCGTCAGCCTCTCCTCATAAGTCATGTGTTCCAGACCCCTAATCATTTTTGTTGCCCTTCGCTGGACTCTCTCCAATTTATCCACATCCTTCTTGTAGTGTGGGGCCCAAAACTGGACACAGTACTCCAGATGAGGCCTCACCAATGTTGAATAGAGGGGAACGATCACGTCCCTCGATCTGCTGGCTATGCCCCTACTTATACATCCCAAAATGCCATTGGCCTTCTTGGCAACAAGGGCACACTGTTGATTCATATCCAGCTTCTCATCCACTGTCACCCCTAGGTCCTTTTCCGCAGAACTGCTGCCTAGCCATTCGGTCCCTAGTCTGTAGCGGTGCATTGGGTTCTTCCGTCCTAAGTGCAGGACCCTGCACTTATCCTTATTGAACCTCATCAGATTTCTTTTGGCCCAATCCTCCAATTTGTCTAGGTCCCTCTGTATCCTATCCCTGCCCTCCAGCGAATCAACCACTCCTCCCAGTTTAGTATCATCCGGAAATTTGCTGAGAGTGCAATCCACACCATCCTCCAGATCATTTATGAAGATATTGAACAAAACTGGCCCCAGGACCGACCTCTGGGGCACTCCACTTGACATCGGCTGCCAACTAGACATGGAGCCATTGATCACTACCCGTTGAGCCCGACAATCTAGCCAACTTTCTACCCACCTTATAGTGCATTCATCCAGCCCGTACTTCTTTAACTTGCTGATAAGAATACTGTGGGAGACAGTGTCAAAAGCTTTGCTAAAGTCAAGAAACAAGGACCTTAAGGCTGCTCTAGGAGAACAGCAAATACCAAGTTTGCTAGTCAGACTCCTCCTTACAGGTTTTTCACTTTCTAAATAAAATTTAGAACATTTATTTTGATAATTACACTTGCCAGCAGGAAGTTAGTAATAGCTTAGGGAAGGAATGTACAGTATATTGGGTCTGGTATAAGGGATTAAAGGTGATTGCTTTAAAAAAACAAAGCAAACAAACTAGTCATAGAGTTTAAGGCCAGAAGAGTGCACAAGATCATCTAGTTCAGTGATCCTCAAACTGTGGGGTGCCTGCACCTAGGAAGCATGGAGGAATGAAGGATTATTCAAGGGTGCACGCAGCAGGGGGTGTGGGAGGGAGCATCATGTTTTCAACCCAGCTCCGTCCCCAGTCTCAGTCCTCCCCCAGCCCTGTTCAGCCCCCAGTCCTGCTCTGCCTCTAGGCCCAGGCCAACCGCCCAGTGAGGACAGGAAGGGAGCATCATTCCCCCATCCTCAGCTCCGTCAAGCTCCACTGCTGAGGAAGCCTTGGCTGTGCAGTAATGGAGGGGGGACATGGACAGATTCTTTTAATGGTGAAGGGGGGTGTGACTCAAAAAGTTTGCACACCGCTGATCTAGTCTGACCTGCTGTATATCGCAGGCCACCAACACCATTCAGCACCTGCACACCAAACCAAACCCAGCAACCAAAATTAGACCAAAGTATTACAGCCCATCATAGACTAAGCTGTTATGTGCCATGGGCAGAGAATAGGAGGGACCAAGGTGCCCAACAAATGAGGGCCCTGCAAAGGCAGGGTAATAAGTGAGATATACCCAGATGATCCGTGCAAATGATACCCTGTGGATACACCCATATGCTTTAGAGGAAGGCAAAAATCCCTCCAGGTCACTGCCAATTTGACCGGGGAGTGTGTGTGTGTGATTCTTTCCCAATCCCACATGTGATGGACAGTTAGACGCTGAGGATGTGAGCAAGAACCAGCCAGCTA